TGTTTGTGTTGTTCGTGTCGGAGATCATCAGACTGGTGTCTTTCACTCTTGTGCTGATGGAAATCGATCGGTTTCTCGTTTCTGGAGAATTCTTATAGAGCACAGAAAGGAAGAGACTGGATTCGAGAACAGGGACCGTTGATTCAACTAGAGATTCGAAGAAAACGAAGATGAGTTACAGTGAGACAATGAGAAATGCGAGACGGATGCAGAAAGGTCATAGGCTTGGAGAGAAGCGTTGTTGCAGCAGAATTCATTGATTTCCAGTGAGAGCAAGAAATTAATACCCACGGAAAAGACCTAACCATGATTCATTTCGTTTACTTGTACATCGCTTCCCGCGTTGTTTGCATAATAAGCCACAGAGAGAGTACAGCCATCCACATGACACTGAACATCATAAGCTTCATAGAAAATCTTAGAGAGAGACTGGGATGGAGGGGTTTCTGTTTCTATCTTTCCTTGTTCCTCTTCTTTGATGGCTTGATGCCCATCCACTCCCTTGAAACTGGCGAGAAGAGGAGCATAAATCAACATAAGCTGAGAACACACATCGACCAAATAGTTGTTTGCCTCGACAACAAACGAGGAGATATCACACTTCACGCGATGATTCTCCACACTCAATCCAAGCAATGGCTTATCGCTGTTTCTATTTCTAATCTCTCACTCTCAATTCCTACTTCATCGAGAAAAACGAAGACTTGCCATTCCCCAATTCCACTCCCATTACAGAAAGATTCGCAATCAAATCGTTTTGTAGATAGGCAGATCCAGTCACACTCGAGACTTCGAATCGAAGGAGTGCAGCAAACCTGTTCGATTCATCTGGGAAAATAGAGCAAATGAACGATTCCAGGCCCACAGAATAGTTTATTATCACGTTTGGGGAGTCTTGTGATGTTGGGAGATTCGCACTGCTTGCAGAGCTTGCAGAACTCGCAGAGCTCGACGAATGGAACTGGGTAATAAACGGGTGTTTCTTGACTGCCTGCACCGAATCTATCCATCAAACTTTTCCAATTTCGCTACTTTTCGTCACAGAAACCATCTCCAAAAGCCTCTCCACGGCTCCCAAAAGCCTCGGATACAACCGAATCTCACACCGATTCACATTGAAATCGACTGTTCCCTCTGATGCATGAGACATTCCAACCGCGCCGGTAAAGTCCTGGCAAATTGTCAGTTCCGCTGACTCTGCGCTGTCAATTGAGAGCTTCAGCTTCGAAACCTTGGCGTTGAGCGCACTTGATGAATTGATAAATTGCAACTCCTGCATATTCGCCATGATGGATTCTTTGGTCTCGTTGCTGATCAATAAACGAATGGATGGATTCAGAATGTGCACATACATGTCATTTTTGTTGGTGGAAGATGGCTTCTTCGCCTTTTGCTTCGGCAAAATCACACAAAGTTGTTCTAAAGGCAAGGCATCAAAGACACTCAGAATAAAATTGGTGTAATGCAGCAACAGGATGGGTCGAATATCCAAAACCCACGACGAAAGCACAACGTTCGTAATTCCAGAAGCAACCTTGACAGAAACAAACGGACTGCTGTCCGAAAAACTTTCTCTCATTTCTCCCAAATGCTGCAGAAGGAAATAGGCATCATTGCCTTGATCGAATTGAATTCCAGCGCTTCCAATGCTCAATGACACTTCCTCTTCTTCCTGCTTTGTCATCTGGAACGCAACGCCATGAACGAAAATGTAGAACAGCTGATTGAACTCATCGCGATGGAATCGAGACTGGAGGTCTTTAGAAGCAGGAAGCGAGTTAATTCGGAATTCAAAAGCATCACATTCAGCACGAACTTCGATATCTCGCTTGATCGAAATGCCTCCCTTTGCTTGTGTTTCGTCAGAGGATGCAGTCGTTCTAGAGTGATCGGTCGATGTTGAAGAGAATAGAGACTCTGGAGATGTTGGAGTTCGATTTGGAGATTCGTTGTACACCGATGAAGCTTCTGTAAATGAGCTGGTAAGAATCTCAGAAGGATTGGATTGGAGGGACATGGTTGGTTTGATCAAAACGAGAATGTCGTTAGCGATGACGAGTGCAGCATAGAGCGCTTGATCGACCACGATCGACAATGTTCCCATCTGAGCATTGACGATCGTGCGATTTCGCATCACGGAAGTAGGAAGATAGATCGTGGATTTGACACGAAGCGCGGCGTCACGACCATTCAGTGAAATGATTCTGAACGTATTATAATCGAGCAACGAATCCATACGGAGAGTTCGAGTCGATGTCGAAATTAACGTAGAAATCGTTCGAATAAAGTGGAAACAGGGAAATCGAGTGCAGACTCACATCCAAATACATGATTTTGGTGGTAATCGTCGCTAAAAACGCAAACTTACCGAACGAAATCGCCACTGCGTTTGTGTCCTATTCTGTCAAAACACCTTTCCTCAATTACTTTGTTTTGCTTGTTATTTGCAACCACCACGCTGATTGAATTCACGGTAACGTTGAAATCCACCGACAAGCTTTCCGGATCGATGGACGTGTAGAACGGATGAATATTATCCAGATTGAACATCGGGAAATCGAGCGGCAACACATCAAAAACGGAGAACTACCGCTCATTCCGACTCTCCAGACCCACATTCAGATTCATTCCACGACGATGTGCAGCCGTCTGTGTGATCGAAGACGCACCTCCCACGATACTGGACTGCACAATGCTCTGGTAATCGTCCAGATTCTCTCCCTCTGCGTTACCGACAGACAAAAAACTATCGGTCGGTCGCGGTTCGATTCGACGATTCAGAATGCTGTGCGTCGCACTGGTCACACTGAAGAAGCTATCTTTGCGAATTCGATTGGAAGGAAACGAAGACAAGTGAGATGTATCCTTCTTTTCCGTAGAGATGGAAGAAAACGAATCCTTGTCGCTTTCTGATTTCACTTCATTTGGGCTCATCACCGAGGAATCTTCCACAATTGAACGGAAATCCTCCTCTTCGCCCTCGCCGGTTCGCTGTGTCTCTGCAACACTGTGGAACTCCGTTCCATCATCCGAGACGATCGATTGGAACTCTGACTCGCTGCTGACGTGGCTGTTTCTTCTCCGATTCGCAGGCATTTTTGATGTAGGAACGAATGGAATCGAAGAGGGAGGTGGGGAAGACTCGGAGGAGTCGTGATACGATTGGAAAAGACTGTAGATTGATTCTACAGAAGGGTCGTTTCCGAACAAGCTGGAATTGTTGGAGGTGAAGAAAACGGTTTGGCTTTGAAGCTCGGAAAGCTCATCGACCACGTCTTTTTCATAATCGATGGAAGAGTGGTGTGTAATCACATCGTAGGTTGTGAGAAGACGTCGAATCGCGGGATAATCCAAGGTTATGCGGATCGGTGTAACATCCAGCGAAGCTGAAGTGAGCATGCTTTGGTTCACTTCGTTCTCCTGTAGTCGAGGAAACGCCAAAGTGAGCTATCCATCAATCTCAAAAAGAGAATAGATCGAACCGTCATCGTAAAGTCATGAATCGCCTTGTACTTGTAAGTATTGATGTAATCCGCCCGCGTGTACACGTCGCTCGCATCGCAGATGGTCAGACTGACGTCTTGGATCGAGCAGCTCAGCAAGACTCGCTCGGACTCGACTGACTCTTCAGCCTTCGGCGTGTTCACTGTAAGCAGCGTCGTTCGACTCGCGTAGTTGTGCAATACCATCAGATCCTTCATTTCTTCGGTCAACTCGCTCTTCACACTGTTATCTATCCGTAAGAACAAGCCAATAGAATCAAACCGCGTAGTTCGATTCGAGGAATACTCAGAATGGTGAGCGGCGTGTCCAAATCGCTAGCATCGGCAGGGAGATAGACGTGGAAGTTTGTGACGGTCAGGGAAGGATGGACAGTGTAGAGATACGTCATGATGGTAAACAGCCTCGGCACGTCGCGAATCGATCGATTCGTGGGCGTTTTCGGCGCAGTCACTTTCTCTTTGTGGAGATCGAAGAAAGAAGCGATCTTCAGAATCGATGGAACGTTCAGATAGCAATCCAGATAGTTCAGATTTCCATAGAAAAAGAGATTCTCTCCGTACTTTAGTTTTAACTGAATCACGTCTTTCTTATCGAGGAACGTCTGCGATTCGTCTTTATCGTAATCCACGTCGTTTCGTCGAATGATATATCGCATTTTGTCCCGCACATTCGTGTAGTCTTTCAACGCCAGGTTCGTCACACCGCAACTCACTTCCCACCATCCATATCCCGTCTGGAGAGTGAACGTCATTCCGTTCAGGAACAGACAGCACAAAACCTTCTCCGACTCTCTTCTCCTTTTGGCAGGTCCAGAACCCAATCGATCTGCAACGAGTCGGAATTTCACTTCATGCAGACTCACTCGAACCATCGTTTTGACGTAATTCGCAGGAAGCATTTCGGGATTCAGCGCTTCGACTTCCGTGCAATAAAGGAATCTCCACACCAGACATTTTAAAAGTACTCATTAAAGGATATAGCAATTGATTGGTCGCGGGAGAGAGCGATTCCGTGTTGCTTGGAGCGAAAAATGACCAGAGTTGCTGTCGAAGAGAAGGCGGCGCTTCCACCGAGGCGCGTTCCGACTTCCATTCAAGCGATCTTCCAAGCCTACCTCGACGACAGAGCGCCAGAGCAGAATGGTATTGATGGGCAGAATGTTCTCGCACTTCATGAGAATGGCCTCGTCCTCTTTGCTTAGCGTACTATTCATTAGAAAGGAAAATCCAACTCGACAGTTTCTTCTCCTCCATCTCTAATTTCCGACTGTACACTTCGCGATACTGCTGTCCAGTACGCCACATCTCGGAGAGGTGGATTCGGTTATATGAGCATTTCATCTTTCGGATATTTCGGATAATACACTACACTTCAAATCTTCTCTCTCGAACTCGACTTTGATTCCATACTTCCAAAGAAGAGCCGGTTTGTCAGCAATCACATCGCTTTCCTGACTTGCAGGTCCCAGAACTTCTTGCCGGATGAGGGAATAGTTATCACGATTCGCAGTGCGTGTGAAGAAGTCGTTCGTGTGCATCAGCAGCTCGTACTGGGAGTGCGAAAGAGACATTTCGATATGGGGAACCTGAATGAAAATCGACTGATCCGGAGAATTCCTGCGAGTCATTCAAGTCCATCGAGCCGCACAGATCGTAGTTCTTATTAATCCCCGCGGTGTAAATCACCAGATCGGGAATGTTCAGGATGTTCGCAATTCCACTCACCGTGTCGATGTTGCTGAGAATCCCCACCATCTCGAGAAGATCGAGCTCGTTCCAATCGCGTTGCAACGTGGAAAAGTAGACGCGTGTGTTCTTGATTACCAGCTGTTTGTACGACTTATCGCGCTCTAATCGGCTGTCGTCGATCGTCTATGGGAATAGGATGCTTCTCTATTTGATTATACATTGAATGTCAGGGATTTGATGACAGCGCCGAATGCGAAAAACGGACTATCCGAGAGATGATCTTCATACCGGAGATGGATCTAGGTTCAACGATGTCAAGGGACATACATTCTTGATTGTGATCTCCATGTTCTTTACAACGTTTCGCAGGAGCATTCCCAAAAAGCTGCTTTCATCCTCACCTCCCTCTTCCTTCGTCAAGAGTGCCTTTTGGAGTTGTCTGCGGACTTCGGCAACCGATATTTCGGATAGTTTTGCATTCTACACTCTTAACACCAAACTACACAGATACATAATAGTTTCGAATTGAGATATCGATAGGATAATTGTCGATCGGTTCAACAACCAAGCACAGGTCTTCTGCCTAAAAAGATCACACTCTTCGCACAATGTTACTGTAATACGCAACGGTTCATTTGAAAATATTGAGGACGCTGTGAGAACCACACTGAGCGATCGAACGACTCCGCGTATGATGCCAATGGGCACAGAGAGACTATCTAAGCAGGATTTCTTTATTTCTAAGTTTTCATAACAGATCTGACCTAGAAGAGTTTAAAACATATATCAAATTCCTTGCCTGTGTATATATCAGAGCGAAGATTCTCCTTCGTCAAGGATTCCTCTTCAAAAACCTTATTTAGGAAACTTCCGAGAAGACTTGATATATTTCCTTCAAGCATCTCTCTTCCTAGGAATGTTTGATATTGTAATATAATAATTCTGGAATTTTGGGAATTGCACTAATTGTGCATTCTCTGTTTTTCAACTCATAATCATATCTTGTGAACTTTGCAAGTAAAATTAAAAACAGAAATTGTATTCCCTCATTTTCCAACATCGAATAGGATCAAATCCAATAATAGTGATTATACGGTTTTAGATAATAATCGAATTTTGGCTAAATGTATTATCTAATAATAATAGCTTTCTATGTTCAGCAAGCGCTCTACTTCTGTGGAAATTAATAAGTATCTAGACACATATCAACAAAATGAAGTATTACCATCGTAAGATCAAAAGTGGAAAGATCAGATGCAGAAAGACCTACCGATCGTTGAACTCTGCATTTATAAAGGCAACCAAGAAGAAGGAAGACGAAGTTACAAAGAAACTGGAGGAAGGGAACAAGGAAGACCATTCTAGGCATGAAGAATACTTATTGTCCTTTATTGACGAGCCACTGAAGACTCAGATCTATTCTTATATGTATGGTTTGAACATCTTTAACTCATCAGAAATCGTGGCTTAGAAAAGTGCCATACAATCGCTATGCTGAAGAAGGTAATGAAGGAGAAATCCTATTTCCAGTTTCTCGAGGCAATCAAAAAGTGTGTGAAACGTATCTATGTACAACCAAACATGTTGATCTACGATCCTTCCAACCCAACTGCTGCAGATTCTCTCGTTCTGATCTTCCTTCGACATGGAGAGGTGTCTCATTTCGATATATCTTGATTCTGCAGGGCTACTATGTGGAGAATGACGTCCGCAATACCTTTGAGTCGTTAGAATGCGTAGATATGTTGGGTGTCACGGATCATTGTTTTGTGAATGATAAAGAACTATCTTGTGATCGTGTGAAAAGTGAGTTTGTCATCCCATCGTTATGAATAGTTGTCAGTAACTCCGCCTGTTTAGTGGGAATTGTCAACATGCTTCAAATCATTAGTACCGTAAAGTCGTTTTCTCGTATTTGGATCACCAACAGAACGCTCAACACCTCCAAAGAAGAAATCGACAATGTCGTTTCGATCCTCCTCGCTCGCAGCTTACGAATCGAGCAGGAACGAGCGGAGCAGGAGCATCAAAAGCAGCTGCAAGAGCAGGAAGCTTTGCGCCATCAGCTTGCGTGCGTTGTGAAAGGGCAAGATGACGTGTAGAGAATGGAAGGACTATCTTATGGCAGGGAATTTGGAGAAAGTGCGCCAATACATTAATAATGGATTTGATGTGAACGCTGATATCGGCATTGTGAGGGACTCGGCTTGGATTGTTTTATTTTTTAGAATCGCAATAAGCCTCTCTTCTATGGCGTGATGTCCAAATCGGAGGAGGTGGTGCGTTCTCTCTGTGCGAGCGGTGCGAACTTGCAGGAGCAGAACGAGGACGGATTCACTGCGCTGCACTTCGCTACAAAGGTCAATTGGATTGAAGGAATTGGGCTTCTGCTGAAGCTCGGAGCGACGATGATGCCGGATAACGCTGGGAACTATCCCACACACATCGCCGCGCAGGATGGAAACAACGAAGCGCTGCTATATTACGCGAAACTGCAGAAGGAAGGAAATACGTCGATCGATTTTAGGGTGAAGAACGCCGCAGGCGAGTCGGTGATCGATTGCTGCCCCGATTTGAAGTTGAAAAAACTCATCGTGCCGAAGGGCAATGAGGGATATAGTTTTGATCGTTACGAGTGTTTGTTGGAAACAAGAGAGAAGTGGCGATGGTGTAGAAGCTGCTTGATGTGGGCGATGGACCGACCTGGATTGAGGTTCTTTGGACAGGAGTGAGTGCAGTTCATGATGGCGTGGCAACGATACAGCTTGTACACATCGTCCAAGTCACGAAGTCGCTCTTCTGTCATTTCGTCTCGCGAATCCACAATCCAACGATAGGCTTGTTGCAAAACTAAAGAGTGTTATATTCGATGCGAACAGAATCTACCCATCGGTCCCAAGTATTTGTCGGGATTCCACCAATAGGAAGGGCACGATGTGGAACAGCAGTTACACAGAATACACTCATACAAACCGTCCAACTTGGCACGATCCTGCGGAGACTGAAGGTTCTCGGTGAGATATAAATCATCAGTGGGCTCATTCTTCTGCTTCTTCTGCAGCCAGGGCTTAATCGAATTGTATTGTTCATAGCTGTTTGTCTGGTCAATCACGAGGTCCTTGATGACAAACATGTGAGGAAGTGGGCGAATGGTGATCGTCCTACAAAGGAAATGTCCTTGTGTGCCCCTTTGCTTACTTGGAACCCTTTCCAATCCGAGTCAAACACGCAAGGCCATTTTCTCCATTGATATTCATCGAGCACGATCCACAAATGCCCTCTCTACAAGATCTGCGAAAGGTGAATGTGGGATCGATCGTATCCTTTATGTGAAACAGGGCGTCGAGTACCATGCCTCCGCACCTACACAATCTTAAGACTACGAGAACACCCCTTACTGAGACAGATCGACTGCATAGCGCTCCATGTGAGGCTTGATATCTCTTGCGGGATTAAAGCGATAAATCTCAAAGAGACGATACTGGGGCGCTGTGGAGAAGAGACGGAGTATTGAAGGACGTGCAAGCATCGGAAGCATGGAAAGCAAAATGATAATATACCTTGTCAAAAATACTTCTCCTTCTATTTGACACAAACACACAAATCTTTCAAGAGATTTATTCATAGGAAACGCAAAGAACTGCTTAATAGGTCTGGGCATCCTTGTTCTTCTTCTCACCAATCTCAAGGGTCTTGCATCTCTTAAGAGGTCTCTGAGCTCTCATCTTGCACTCCTTGCACTCCAGACGGAGCACCAGCTTCTTGGTCTGCTTAGCCTACGAATAAACTAGCTCTGCACAAAATCGACCTTCTTGTGGAAGATAGGCTTGGTCTGACCACCATAACCCTTCTGCTTCATATCGTATCGACGCTTGCCTAAAAATAAGACAGCATACTTCACTCCTTACCCTGAGGTCTCAGAGAAGCCTTTCCAGCCTTGTACTGAGTAACTTTGTGCTCAGTGTGCTTATTGCACTTCTTGCAATAAGTCTTCTCGGTCTTGGGAACATGCACCTAGAACTTGGTGAACAACACGTCTTTAAGCCGGAAATTGCAACAACGGACTTCTCATGATCCGAACACCTACCATTTCTACAAATAATATCTATTGAAAGGATATTTGAAACAAACCACAATAAGTGAATAGCGCGCGTTCAGTAGTAATCATAATCATCATAACACTATTTATTGGTACCTGTACAGTTTCATATACCATGGGGGTCAATCATCTATATAACGTTGAATTAATCGATGCGATCAAGGGGGTCTATTTCTGATTCCCAAGTTGTTTAAGGGTTACACTTGTTCAATTAAAGTCTGCAATGGTAGGGTGTCAGAATGCGTTGATTCGGTCATTGCACTGATCAAAAGTCTATTTTTGGGCTCCTGTGTCTAACTTGTCTTGTAGGGTAAAAGAACTAAGAAAGTTGGTATTTGTGGAAAGTATGGAACAAGATACGGATCTTCGCTGCGTAAGATCGTGAAGAAGATCGAGATTAGTCAGCATGGAACGTAACTTGGTGTTGATTCGTTTGTGATGGCATAGCTACACTTGCGCCTTCTGCGGAAAGAACACCGTCAAGAGAACTTGCGTCGGTATTTGGGAATGCAAGAAGTGCAAGAAGGTCGTTGCTGGAGGTGCTTGGTCCATCTCTACCCCCACTGCCCTTACAGTGAGATCTTCTATTCAGAGACTTCGTCGTTCCAAGAACGAGGCTTAAGGATTGAGTCCGGGAATTGGAACTGAATCTGTACGGCGACCCTTATGCAACCGCTCTTTGTTACAACAAACACGCGATTCGAGTTTTGCGACCTTCTCCAGGTATTTGCTGAAAAAGCCAATGCCAGGAAGAATACTGAGCAATCCCTTCAGAACATTCTCGATAAACTTCTTCTGAGGGTCCTCGACATCGAGAGTCACCTTTCTGCTCGAATGCACATCTACCTGTCAACCAAACGAACGGCCTCCTCCTACACACTGACTGATAGGCAAACGCAAAGCACATGGTGATAGAAACTACATTCAACGACACTTCGTACATCGATTTCCAGAAGGCTAGCAGGCAGTCTTTCGTTATGTGATGCAAGAAAGAAAGAGTACCCGTAATGCCGGAATAAGTCACATACATGAGATAGAGACGAGTAGGAATCGCGATGAGATTGGCCAGAAAGGTACAAGTCGAAGCAAGGGTCCAGGGAGTCATCTACCGTTTATCTCTCTGCAGACTCAAATACGCGCATGTGGAAAATACCAACAATGCTCAGACACAGATTGATTAACCGACATCCCATTACTACTTTCATACATGCTATCATTGAGTTCGAAATCAAAAACTTACTGACAAGCATAGAAGAACTCATGTTATTGAGACTCTATACGTAATTCCAACCAAGCATGTTGATACTGTATAGGAAAGAACAGTGTTGTACAACTGATAACTAGTGAAGCCCTGAACGACGACAACGGCAAAGTACAACAGAAGCAATACTCCTCTATGCTTTCTCGTGGGTTTTAACATATTTTCAAAGCTCTCTAGCTGCACGTCCTGCGGCATTTTGATACACACACTTGAAAAGGATTATAAACAGAATATTTTTGATTTCCAAAAACACGCTCTATTTACGCTGAGATTCGATTTAAAAGGAAATTCTTCGCCATCGTGAGAATTCAACAAACAAGTCTAAAACTTCAGGTCAACGCCAAGAAGATTCTTCAACTCTTTTGCCAGCAGACTGTTGATGTCCTCGTTGACTTTGCGAGAATTCTTCACCCCGTCCATCTCGCCAACTTCATACCACTTTTTCGAGTTCAAATCGTACTCAAATCGCTTGGGACCACTACTATGCCATCCGACCCAAGCACCTTACCTAATGGGAGAAGACCACCAAATCTGCATATTCGGAGATTGCTTGTTGATCACATAAGAACCCTTCGACCCCATATTGATAGACAAAACACCGCTCTATTCTGATATTACTCACAGGACATCACTTACAGCAATGCTATAGTCCAAGTTATCAACATCATCGGCTACTTCATCCAGGGCGCTTTCAATCGTGGTCAGCTCTTCGTCCACCAGCTTGTTGTACTCCATGGCACTTCCAGGAAAGGCTCTATGGAGAATGAATCCTCCTGAGACGTTACGAGAAGAAACGTGAGGAAAAGGGAATACACGGTCTCGAAACAAGACGAAGCGCGCCGCCAAAACACCTGAGTGAGGAAAACATAGAAGAATAATGTGTGTAACTCAAACAGATAAACTTTCTCGAAAGTATTTAATACATCTCCTCATACATACCATCCTTGAAGAAGTGGAAAGTGGGCTTCACTCCGTCCACGTATTCGCAAATCACAATCATCTCCTGAAGGTGAGAAAGGGAAGAGGCGTCCTTTCCAGCAGCCTCAGCCTTGGCCTTCATCTCGTTCACCTTCTCCTCCATGGCGTCGTAATCGACAGTTCCGTGGTAGTAGTCGTAATCCTTGAAGTCCTTCAGGATCTTCTTGATGAACTCGTTCATCTCGTTGACGAAAGCCTCCTCTCTCTCGGGCTTGTTCTCCTTCAGGTACATGCGCACCTGCTTCACGTACTTCTTGATCATGGCAGTGAAGGTCTTCTTATCCAAAGCAGTCTCGTTGGCGAACTGCATCAGACTAGATTAAACACTCGAACAACACCATACTTGTGATTCTGAACAACATCGAGAATCTGCTCAGTCTCGGGGTCCTCAGCATCTTCCTTGGGGACCATCTTAGCCTCCACAGAGTACCTATCAAATTAAAATCTTCGCGAAAACAAATACAGAAGGTCAGTCTCGGTGTGAGGGAAAGAGTCAGAAACGAGCTCGCAGCAACCGAATTGATCAAAGTACACAATCATTTTATCCTGAGATGATCAAATAAATTATTTGTGGTGAATGGTCCAGAAATGAAGGCTTTTGGCCCAATTCTATACATCATTTAGGACATTTTCATCCCTAACTACTGCAAACCGTCATACAACGCTTTTCCAACAAATACACGATAGAGTGGAATAATAACTGGTTACGAAAAAAATAGCGACAGCGAACTTGCCTTTGGTTTCTCAGCAGCCTTCCCCAGAGCGTTTCCTGATGTGTTTCCATTCGTTTTTTGTGTTGGCTGGAGCGAAAAGCTCATGGAAAGCGGTGTCGAGATAAATTGCTTTGGACCCTCCTCCGTCTCCTTCTTCTCCTTCTCTTGAGATGCTTCTGTTTGCTGGCTGCTCGGTTCTGTGCGCGCGACTGCAGATTTCCTCTGGGGAATGTACATCGGTTCACTCCTAGACAAGTCGACGCCTCTACAGCTGATTCGACATGAAGGAAGTTACTTGTAGCTGCCTCCGAATGGGTTGAACGTATCGAACGCGTCCTGCTCGTCTTCGTCTTCATCGCCATCGCCATCATTGAATTGGCGCTGATTTGAATTGCCAGCACCTGTTGCTTTGGCTTGCTCCGTCGATTTCTTTGCGTTTTTGTTCTTCTTCGCGTCTTTGCTCGATCGCATCACGGCCTTTTCGTACTGATCGGCGCGTTCTTGCAGATCTTCTTCGGTCAGCGTGTTCACCGACACCGTTTTCCAGCTTCCAAACTAGGCATCAAGTGTTTGCAGGACAACTACAAGGTCTTCTTCGGTGAGATTCGCTTCATAGTTAAAGTTGTAATGAATCGGTTCTTCTTTTGGTTCCTCATTTGGTTCTTCTTTTGGTTCTTCTTTTGGCTTCTCATTTGGCTCCTCATTTGGCTCTGATTTTTGATTCAATGCGTCGGCGGATGGCTGATTCGTGGACGCGCTCTCGCTCTGGGAGGCTTGCTGCTGGCGGTTGCGCATGAGGATCACAGGGTCGATGTAGGAACTGCCTTCTCCATATCGACTGGGAGGGGGAGGAGGGATGTAGTCATCTGATGGCACTGCATTTTATTTCTTATTTAAATGAATGTACTGGAGGAGGAAAGAAAAGGAGGAGGAGGAGGGGGAGGAGGAACATTCGAAGCAGTAGTAGAAACATCAGAAGAGGAAGGATCCGAAGGAGGAGGGGGAGCCAGGGAAGCATTCTTCAACAACTCCTGGTATCGAAGAGTGGCTCGCCATTCTTCAGCGGTAGGAACAGTGGCATAATCTATCTTAATCGGTGTGCTTTCGTAGAAATTATACATGGCCTTTTTAGAAAACTGACTTCTTGAAGGAGCACCATATGTAGATTGCTCTTTTGCTTCCTACTCCTAAACAAACACGCTCACACCCACTCTTTCTGCTTTTTGAATAGCACGCTCCACTTCCTTCTGTCTCGAAACTTCTCTTTCTCGTGTAACCTTCTGCTTGGAGAGATAGCGATCTACGTTCTTTTTGTGCTGATCGGAATTTTCATGCTTTTCGCGATTCTATGAATAAGCGAATGAACCGTTCCAGTACAATCTTGTTGTCAACATACCAAAAGTTGCAGTATTTGCAATACGCACGCGGCAACGACTTCCAATAGGACGACATACTGCACCCACAAAAAAGATAGTTGGAACAAACAAAATTAGTGATTTCGACTTAGCGTAGTCACAATATCGGTAATATTATTTGTGACATAGTCAAGACGTCGTTTCAGATCATCTCTCCCCAACCCCACAGCCTTCGCCAACGGCACCGCCGTAATCATCCCAAACTTGTCCAAGTACGTAACATCATCAAACGGACACTCCAGATTCAGAATCGTTCCTCCCTCATACCGCACCTGGATCGCTCCCGTGCTCAGCATGATGATCGACGCCTCCTCTTTGATGAGCCATTTGATTACGAACGGCAAATTCTTCGCCGGCCCGCCTTTTGCGATGTCCTCCAGCTACTCCTCATTTCCCGACCCCTCGCTCACCTCCTCCTTCGAGATCTCGCGGTTGTTCGCACGCTCGTGGAACGTGGTGCGGAAATACTTCACCAGCGTGATTTTCTTGGAGATCTCCGCGGGGAAGTCGTCGATCGACCCCTTGTAAAGCGGAGGAAACTGCTGCGAGCGATTCCACTCCTTGATGGAGATGCGAGGGTGATACTCGTAGTACAGTCCGTTCGAACTCACCACGATCTATCCATCAGAACGTGGAAACGTGGAAACCGATGTTTTATCGTTGAAGAGCACGCCGATGAGGCCGTTGCTGAACATATACGCGATTCCGTACTTGCGCGTGAAATCGTACTCGTCCACGATCCAGTTCTATTCATCACTCCAAACCCACAAAACGCACCGCTGTGCGCGTCGTGCTGATCGCGTCCGCGTTCTTCACTACCCATCAAACCCTCACCTTCACTCCCACTCAGCAGCGGATGATGCATCGCCGTGTGCAGATTCGCCGCGTGTCCGATCAGCATCGGCGTCCCAGGAACGTCCTGATACCGCGATCGTTTCACCGTGATCGACGGCACCGTGCCCTCGGGCAGCCCCTCGAAGGTCTCCTTGGCGGTGAGCCCGTGCGCTTCGAGGAAGGTCTGGTTGGCCAGATCCAGCCGGTCGTCCATTCCGCGCGCCTGGTGCGCCGTCAGCGAGAACCGGTTGATGTTGTTCTTCCCGTTCCCGTCGTAGTCGAAGTTGTAGTTCACGCCCGGCTCGCCCTGCGCGTGCAGCGTCGCCACACGCGAGTGCGGCTTCCCTTCCGCGAGCGGCAGCGGCTTCGCGAGGTCCGTCATGCGGACGCGTTTGCTGGCGGGGTCGGCTGGAGGTGAGGCAAGCAACGGGCTGCGGACTGCTGGATGGGTCGGCCGCGGAGTCGCTGGAGGACGTGGAGCGGTGGACGCGCTGGAGGACGGGCGTGGGCTCGGTGGCGGGGCGCGAGGTGAGGAGGTAGGGCTGGTAGAGGATGTAGGGAGGGAGCGATTTGGGCGGACTGATGGGCGAATCGGTGAAGAAGGGGTGCTGGAGCATCTGGTCGAGCGACAAGCGCGACGCAGGGTCGGTGGTGAGAATGGAGCGGATGAACATGCGCGCTTGATGGCTCACGAACCGGTCCTTGATGGGGAAGCTGAAGTCGTTCTGACGAATGTTCTCGTAGGTGCTCTTCCGGCTGCCGCCGTCGTACGGCGCCTTGCCGATGAGGAGCGTGTAGGTGATGACGCCGATCGCCCAGATGTCCACTTCGTAGGAGTACGCGCGCTTCCCCTCCGATTCCAAGATCTCCGGAGCGATGTAGTTCGGCGTCCCGCACATCGTCTTCTTGCGCTCGTTCGGCTCGCTGAGCTCCGTGGCTAGACCGAAATCGCCCACTTTCACGTCCAGATTGTCATCCAGGAAGACGTTGCCCAGCTTCAGGTCTCGATGGATGATACGGCGGTTGTGCAGGTATTTTACAGCGTCGATGATCTGGAGCAGGAAATATTGAACCTCGGGCTCGGTCAAGTATTTGCGGTTTTTGATCAGGTGGCCCAATGTCTACAAAATATCAATTTTCTATATATGCGCAAATACGTCGTGAGAACATAACTCTAAAATAAGGTAGTGATAACGATTATCTTCAAAGTGCTTGTACATGCGGCAAATGTGTTTGTGGTTTAATGACTGGTGAATCTTAATCTCGCTTTTAAACTACCCATAAGTCCAAGATCCCCAAACTTGCCTTTTCTAACTTATTGGGGCTTGATAAACCCGATTTATCAACTATCTTGCCAGCATACCTCTTTCCGCTTTGAACACTTGTCAGTTCATACACAGTAGCAAATCCGCCCTACGCGGTCAGACCCAATCAATATCCAGAACCTTCCCCATTTGTTTTCCTATTCGATAGCGATCAACAACACGTGTTTTCGTCTCGTCTAACTCGGTAATGTACTTGGTATTGTCTTTCTTTACGACGACTTCAACAGGCTGGGCACTAGAAACATCTTTTGGGTGGGGACGCTTTTCCATATGACACTTTGCTTCTTCGCTAAAAAAAATGTGAATTGCTATTTACTCCGAAAAACGAAAGTGATAGTCGGTTGGCAATATCCAGCCATGCATGAATACGATGTTGCTTCAGACTTGGTGGACCATCCCAGTGAGTGTCTCAACAAAACGAGTCACCGAAGAAGCCAATTCTACTCTTTTCCTTATTCACACACAATGTTTCATATTTTTTCTTTTATGTTTCTGGTAATCGGATCTTTACTCCTATTTGGGTTTCTTTTTATTTCTCTTGACTCACGAAGCAGAGTCTACGCTTCTATCAATATTCCTAGGGAGGTTTATGTACAGGCGACGAGTCATTACGAGGCTGGATATAAAGTGGGACTCTATCTTTTTATTTCTATTCATCTAGTTCGGTCAAATGACAAAGGATTTAATAATGGCGCGATTTAAGGATGATACAAATCTGAACGAAAAAATGATCCCCTTCTATCATACACCACGCGGAAAGCAGGTTTTTGATCATCTTTACAAAGTGAACGTTTCTCCCTTTTCTTCTTCTCGCTATTTCCATAGAATGAACGTTTCCCGGAGTATATGGAAGAAGTCCGAGGCCAGGCTGATGGCGCGGGCGTGGGATTTGAATACGTGTTCATGTCCACCTTGAGCGAAGAGTTCAGTGACTATGTGGATGGGAAATTCCACTTCCACCCCACCGAGTCCTGCTCCGATCTCATCCTCAACGAAGACCAAGAGCGTATTCCTGCTTCCCCTCTCTAATCAACAGTCGGTATCTGCCACAACGAAGACGGCAGCCTGATAGACTTTAACCGCACGTCCTTCCTCCACCAAGTCATCATCCGTGGTAATGCTCCATTCCTCTCTCCTCTCCCCCAGACGGCATCGTCGTAAGCAACTTCAGCTCATGGTGCTACTCCGGCCAGCTCCCCACCGCCGCCTTCGGCTTCAACTCCCACCTCGCGTTCACCATGAACTATCTCCACACTCGCTTGGGAGGTTTCCACGTTTCCACATTTCCACGTAGACTTCGACGGATTGGCGCGGAACTTCATCGCTCGCTTCATATCCTTCGCGAATCGTGGAAACTGCGTCCTTCACCCACCTTTTGGACGCGAATTCGATCGAAGACGCGTGGAACCGAATTCTCTCCTCTCCGCACTGCGTCGGACACAACTACCAGCTCCTCGATCTTTCATCCGGCCAGCTCCTCGACGTCGAAGTCGCGCCGTTCGACCGGGTACCGCGGTTATTCTGTGATTTGAGGGGCAGATCGGGAGAGTGGGGGCATTGCCGGGGCGTCCGCACTTCCATTCGAATATGTATAGCGTGCTGATTGTGGACGACACGCCCGGGGAAAGCTCGATTCATCGCGAGGCGCGCTATAAGCAGATGGAAACGCCGCGATGCTTTGATGACGCGATGAAGGTGTTGAGTGACGTGTAGGGGTGGAGGAGGGGAGTGAGGGCAGAGAGGATAAGGTAGAACCGATTTATCGGCCGACGACGCTGAATACTGCGTTGATTGACTTCCATCAGAGGAAGTGTGTGGTGTATGCCGGACCTCCCTCGGAAAAGAAGGTGGTTGCACAGTACTTCCTTTAATAATAATAATCTGGTTGTTTGTTGGAATCGAACTTGTCACCTTATTGTTGATCTCACTGATGGAAATTGAGGCAGAAGGAGAGGAAACTCAGTTTGAGCAGAGAATTCATGCGATTAATGTTCTTATTTTTGTTTGGCTGCTCATTGCCTAGAATGATAACTTGGTCAGCTTTCTGTTGGAAAATGGTGGAGAATTAAAAAAGCCGCGGAATGCAAAAGTTATATACAATAAACTGCTGGAACTTCTGAAATCGACAACGAACATCGAGGGAGACAAGAGAGTGTACAATAATAGAGAGTAAGAGTTCAGAAGCCCTGTAAAAACATAGAAAATCATTCTTGCTACTTGGAATCATCATAGATGTGTTAGTTGCCCAAACAGATCCAGATCTCGTTTACCTGCTAGAGTACTGCCTATCCATACGTCTTCATGCTTTTTCTAATCCTTAGACGTTCTTCGTGGACTCGCTGTTCATTACACATAAAGCAAATGTGATGATGAAGTTAATTTCCTACATTCAACTGTGCAATAACATCACGCGGAGAAATTTCGTGGAGAACGTCCGAGAAAAGATGCAATCCTACGGTCTGTACACCAGCAAGATTCTAGAACCCGAAACGGTAAGAATCTTTGATCCCGTGGAAGCAGATCGTCTCAAGCGGGACATTCAGCTGTATTCTTCAATCCCTACCGCTGTCTACGAAGGCGTGAACTTCATCTACCTGTGTCAAGATAAATACCCGGGAATTTGGTCGAATGAGCCTGCCTACGACGAGAAGCAAAGGAACGACGAGTTTCTCTGCGACATCAAAAACTCGCTTTTATTCACATTCCCTGAAGACAAAATGGACCGCCTCCTCCCCTTCTTCCAGAACTACTGCTTCTCCTTCTGGAAGCTCTTCCCGAAGGTGCGGAAATGGCTGCTCCGTCCGGAACACAAACCCTTCTTGGAGCGAGACACAAACCTTCTCTTCAATCAGCTCATGTTCCTCCTCAACTACGGCGTGGCCCACCGCGTCGCCATCACGCCGAATCCTTACGTTTATCCCGTCCAGAGCAACCAGCTTCTCAAACTCGGCAGCGAAATCGCGCAGCATCTTCAGCCCCAGATCGCCTACAGACATCTTCTCCTCCTCGCCAGCTTTCACACAGTATTCCTCTCGAGCTCCTTCATCAACGCCAAAAACGTCAGCGCGCTTATTCTCCTCACCACCAACCTTCTCACACAGACTCTCAAACCTTACCAGCACTTAAACAGCCTCCAACAAACGATCAAATCCAACGATCTCCTCAATCTCCCTCCCCAAACGCCCAACCTCATCACGCCCTCCAACGTCCAGCCCGTCATTCTCTTTCTCGGCCAGTTCATAAAGTTCTGGAAGACCAACTCTTCCGATCTCCGACGCATTTGCTTCCTGCTTCGGAAAATCTTGAACGTGCTCCTCCTCTTGCAGCAGCCAAATCCCTTGGAAGATTCCGCGATGCGGAGCGTGGTGGACCAGGTGCTGCTGATTCTGCTTCGATTGCTGGACTACGTGTTGGAGCGCTTCCCACTGGCTCAGCGAATGGAAGAAGCGAGAGAAAACCCGGCGCAGTGCGGGAATCCGCTTCGAAAAGAGGATCAGAGCGGGAGGAATTCGGTTTGGTTTGAAACACAATGGCTGACACGCGATACTTCCGTCTTCGAAGTCGGCGATGAGTTGGTAGTGGAGAAGCCATCGCAGCTGATCATGCTCACATTGTGGAATTCCCAGATTTTGAATTTGGTCTGTGCGCTTGCGGTTCGATTCGAAAAGGACACGATTACGGAGGAAACATTGCTGCGAATCTCCAACTGCATTCTCAGCGTGTTTCGGATTGTGAAGCAGCACAAACAGCCGAAGGTGCCCAAGATGAAATGCGAGAGCAAAATCGGTGCGTTTATCGATGACGCGCTGAAGGAAGTGGCGATGAGTTTGCAGAATTTCCCGTGCAGCCAGATGACGTTTCTGATCAATCGAATCATGCCGGTGTACATCGATCTGCTGCTCGAGAATCGATATTTGGAGAACATTCTTCCCTATTTCAGAAAGCCGCTGGCGCTGACGTTGTTTCTGTATTACGTGTTTGAGGAAGTGTCCAATCGATTGATTGTAGCGATCCGATTTGTGTTGTGATGTGTAGATCTTACTGGTGGACGGTCCGAAAGCAGTGTCGTTGGTTCATTTGATCGACATGGCGCTTTCTTACGCCAGTGCAAAGAAACTCGAAGACTTGTTCGTGCGTTATACTCCGGTCTTCCTCCACCGATTCAATCACTTGTAGATTTACTTGGCTCGATGCACCGTGCTCCTTCTCGAAACCACGCAGCGAGAATCGCTGCTGTCTTTACTTCAAATCTTCTCAAGCACTTCCCAAGTCGCCGAATCGCTCTTTCTAGCCCAGAATGGCTACACGTTGTATTGCTCGGTGCTTCAATCCCTTCTAACCCTCGCAAAGCACTCTTCCGACTCCAAAGACACCGCGAGCTATCTGAACATCCTCCTCTCGTTCTCTTTCCCTCCCTATTTCACAGACACATGGCTCGCGACGCTCGTCAATGCGGGTCTCCTCGCGATACAGGTGACTCCCGTGCAATTGAATGGAGTTCGCACGCTTTCGCGGCTGTTGGTGGTAGAAAGCGAGCGCGTTTTGTCGATTCTCGATGAGCCACACCATCGAAGAACGTTAGTGAAGGCGATAAACGACTGCATGGCGTGTGTTTCGAACTCGGAGCTCCACTCTGCGATGCTAAAATTGATTGGTGCGTTGGGTGGATGGATGCGCGATCACGTGAACCCAATTCCTTGCTCTATGACCACAGTTCCCAAACCCGATTCTGTGAATTGCTATGTTTTCGAGCTTGATGACGGAATGAGACTGTCGTTATCCCATGACCAACTCATTTTGGAATGTTCGCATGTTCTTTCGAACTTCGCAAAGTACCCGGAGAACATGTCGATGATGTTGGCTCAAGCGAAACACAAAGCACTCGGCGTGCTGATATCGCTTTTCGATGCGGTGTATGGAGTGTCAGAGAGCACTGAATCCATCGCAAACGAGACAGTCAATCTCCTTTCCAATGGCAACAGCCAAGGATTGAACGATAATGTGAATCTCCAAACGGCTTATCTGTATGTCCTCTTTCTCGCTGCGTGCAATCCGGTGCTTCACCCCAAAACCGTTTCTCTGCTTCGCAAATGCGCTTATCACTTCGGAAGAATGATCATTCACAACTCAAACTTCATTCCAGCATTGCAAACACGGTGGGAGGACGTCGTCACGATTCTGGGTCCCATGCCTCCCAATTTTGTGTGTGATATCAATCCAGAATTCGAATTCATTTTCGTCGCGTTCATCCGACTCTTGCGAGGAAATGGCGATTTTGTGCTGAGCGTGGCTTGCGAATGGGTCCAATTGCTCCACGAACAGTTGCAGAACGTGCCGCCCGAAGTGTTTCACGCCTTCTTCGACAACTTCGTGACCGCGATGATTTCGCTCGGATACGAAGAAGGCTGGAAAACGCAGCTTCGTATCTGCTCGGTTTTCAATTTCATCCTGTCGCTGTTCGACAATCGATGGGCTTATCGCGTCATCTCCATCTTCCTTCGCTTCTATCTCCAGACCTTGAATGTATCGATTGGAGAGGATTGCGATGCAGGTCACTCCAGTCAACGAATTGCCGCGCGCGTTGCCCGTTCTGCGAAAAGGACTGACGTGCATATTGCTGGGCAATTTCAGAACGAAGTATGCGAGGAGTTGAAGAGTGAGGAATAGTACGATGGTCGGTGGGGATTGGATCTTGGAATACTCGCTGCGTGTCTCGGATATCGCTGTCGTGCTTGTGCAGTATTTGTTTGGCGCGAATTGGTACACGCATTGCTTGGTGAAGAAGCTGATCTTCGATATTTTCAAGCATTGCAAGACGGAGTCGGCGGCGAGTTCGTTCTCGCCGCTTCTCTTCAATCAAATGGAAACGATCGTGGCCAATTCGAACTTCTTTATGCTTTCCTTCGTTGAGAAACTGACGTAGCGTTCTATAATTCTTTTTTGTCCGTAGATTTGTTGACGCGATCACGTTTTTCCTGTACGTTCCGGAGCTTCGAGCGCCGATCGAGATCGAGCCGCTCCTGAAAGTCATTTTGATTTGGGGAGCAGAGAACATGGTTTCCTCGAAAGAGGTCAATTCCTACGTTTGCATCGAAGAAAGTGTTTTGATTTTAGCTGTTGCCGATCAAGGAGCTGGTTCCCAGTTCGTCCAGCGAATTCCCTCTTCATCGAGAAGCCCATGAGGAGATCCAGTCGCTCGTGATTCAGCTCGTCCTCACCTACTTCTCCGTAGCTCCATTCTTCCGTGGCCTCATTTTCAGGTTTATAAAGACACCAATGTACAAAAGCTGCTTTTCTTGTTCAACGCGGCTTTCGTTCCTTTCCGCGAGTTTCTTTGGAGCGCGCTGCGCTTCGCGTCCGACGAACTATTCCAGGAGATCCAGCTGATGCTCTGCTATTTCCAAGCGAATTTCGATTCTGAGTTCCGAAAGCTCATCGTTCCCGATTCCTTCGAACCCATCACGCAGTTCCTGATGAAATCGGCGATTAATTGCCGCACCGTCCACAACTTCGTGGCGGCGAAGCTGGTCAGTCCGAGTTTGCTGCAGCAGATCCACCGGCGATGCTCGAATTGGTGCGAAGAATTCATGGGGAGAGAGATTCGTGTAGGCTTGAGAGCGAAGCTCGATCGTAGATTTCGTCGGAAGAATTCACAGAGATGATTCGGCTGTTCTGTAGGTTTGGGGATATCGTGAGCATCCTGCTGTGTAACAGCCAACTGAATAAGATGCTGATGAAGCATTGGATGGTGACGAACGTTCCGCTGAACACCAAGCGAATCGTAGTGGAAATGGAGGTCTGTGATGTAGTTTTCGTACTTCGCGTGGTCGTTGAATGAGACGCAAATCCAGCAGATTTTTAACAAGGAAACGTTGGAACCGGCGAATCCGTTTTGGATTTGGGAGATGGAGGAAATCATTCTGTGTGCTCCAGGCCCGATTTGTTCGCACCTGATCATGCGGTTTATAGAGATTTTGAATAGCTGCATGGACGTCGATCCTCAAATCCGCTTTCGATTGCTGCGATGTGTATACCATTATGTCGGTGTTTTCAATCGACTTCATTTCAGATTTCGCTTTTGATCGATAAAGTTCAGATGGATACTTCGTTGATCTTGATGTCAGAGCAAATCACATTCATCGTCAGTGTGATGATTCCTTTGCTCGATAATATCAATGCCTATCTCCATCATACCAAGCAGATCAACACGCTGATTGATCCTCTTCCCTACAATGGAATATTTATGGGGGAACTGGTGGAAACTGTCACGCACCTCACTATTAAACTGATCAGAGCGAAGTTCGACGCTGGTCTTGCTATCAAGCTGTGCGAACTCGTTGCGCTTCCACTCCCTCTCACCCATATCGAAGCGTATAACTTCCTTCATTTTGAGTGTCAGAAGCTGTTTGAACTCCAGCGAAATGAGATGGTGAAGTAGAAGGATGTGTTGCGTGTTTGATGAGTAGACTGGCGTTAGGAACAGCCAGCGGGCAGTACAATTTCCCATTGCGGCATACTCTTATTTCCAATATTGTGATTCCTTGTGTAGCACAATTCCAACGCACGGAATGCAAGCTTGTCTATCCCTTTGTTTTTATGGGCTACATGAACACGGTCATAAAAGAGAAGGAAAAGAGCGACATCTTCTACAACGATTATACCACTTTCAACGATCTCTTTCAGCTTATAGTACTCATTGTGAAATCGTGTCCTTCGGAAGTGGAGACGAACAAAGATTTTTCAGCAGCGATAGCGAGAATCTTGCAATATGGATCGGTTCTCCAAATCCAGAGCCTATTTTGTAAGTGTTGTTTCCTAACCAATCAGAGCAGTCAGAAGACAATATACGAAACGATATCAGCGATATTGCACGCCTATTCCTATTACACAGATTCCATGGAAAACGCACTGTTTTACACCATGTTTTTGCATTGTAGGACTTGGGATTGGATTTGACGTAGGCTATCAGCTGCTGGATGAGAATAACAGGGTGTTTCTCTACAAGAAAATGGCCGATATGTTGAATAAAAAGCCAATTCCACGATTGATTCGTCTCATCGAAATCACCCCGAGCATGATGAAGTTCATCTCTCGCAATCTAATAAGATTGGACTATCCCACGAGTATCATCGCTTTGGAATATCGGCTCACTCTCGATCCTCCTACCCGGCCATTGAATAACGAGGACCCGAAGCAGGCGCAGCAAACTATCACCGAATTGGTTTATTCCGTGTTCCGCGGAATGCAAGAAGAGTTTTCCAACTTTTGTTACAATGATGGTTACTATTACCGATGTTATTTTCTGCTGAAACGAGCGGCAGCGATCATTGATTGGCCGTTTTCTCTGCAGCCGATGATTCAGTTGCTGGAAGAGAAGATGGAGAAAATGAAATCGGAGGGGCAGAGCGAGGAGAGACGGATGTTTGTGTTGTCGATCTTTGAGATCATGCTCCCATTCATTCAACACAATCCGAAGAATATTCATCTCGATAACCCTTCGGATTTGTGCAGACTCATTTTCGAACCGCTTTCTTTTATCCATTTTTCATCGCCGTTCGCGCTGCTTCTCCAGTTTTTGAAAGCTCTTCAAAAGACCGATTTGATTCTTCAAATTGGAAACAGTCTTGTGGTCAACATTCTAGAAGTAATGAGCGCAGATAGCTACATTTATCATCGATGGTGCTATCTAAAACTGATCGAGACGATTGTTCCCTATCTTCCAAAGACAAGTACCATGGTAACAAATTTGTGGGAAGCCTATAAATCGATTGTGCCGATCCTCGATTGGTCTCGTTATCCCAAAGCAAGGTATCCATTTATCATTTTTGTTGATGTGTAGTCCGTTAATTTCGATCGAAAGGCATTGCAGTGAGCTTCAGATCCCTTCGCTTCGCTTCGTTGGGACCGTTTCTGTGCTTCGAAGCTATTTGTTATACGACAATTTCAACGGAGGTCCTCACAACATGGACATCATTCGCGAAGAAACGATCAAAAGGAACGTTCCGGATCTCACACAGTCGCTGATTCGAATGCTGCACAGCATGCCGTCGCTTGAGAAGTTCGGCAGCTTTCTCACAGCGATGGAATTCGTTCGGACGCTTCCGCCCACCCGCCATAATTTAGTCACAATGCAGGAGTATGAGAAGCTGTGCGAGAAAGTCCGTCAACGGCCTCTCGAATTGAATGAGTTGCTGATTCACGCGATGACCATCGATGATTCATTGCGAAGCAACGCGTTGCAACAGCTCGTTCGCTTGCTCCCGTTGGATGCGGCCTCGGCATTGTCGTTCATACTCCGCCTGCCGTGGAGTGCGATCGGGCATCAATCCTGGCTGCCATTGGGAACGTGGCTTTTGCTGTATGCGCTGCGGAGACATCACGAAACCATGGTTCTGGATGTGTTGCAGGATCTTCTTTGGGTCAATCACACGCTGTGTGAAAAGTAGGAATTGAGAGGGAGATGGATGATGATTCTGTAGACTATGGATTGTGTTGTTTCCTCTGATTTGGGATCACTGCACGGCGGAAAAGCAGCAAAGGTTGCTCGATGATGTCATCTATTTCCTCTCTCAGGATTTCCACAAAGCCCAGAAATCCTATTTCTATTCGTTCATTCTGAGCGCAGATCCGTTTTCTCGCTCCTCGAATTCGATTCAAGTCTTTCTAGAGGGATTAACGCGCTGCAAAAGTCTTCCGCTTCTTCCAGCATCGCTCAGCCAATCCATCGCCGCGACCTTCGATCCATTTCACATGTCCTATCTCCAAGAAGAGGCGTGGAAAGAAAAAGAAAGCTCTCTTGCGGAGTGGCGAGATTTGCTGGTCGTTCCTTTTGGATGGAATGAGAAATAGATTAAATCGGAACGACTTGAGCCAGCGCTGGGTATTGTGGTTTCGATGAATGATCAGCTTGTTGCTGACGCGTTTCTGAGCGAAGTGAATCGCGAATATCGCTCTGCGTTCGACAACTACAACAGACGGAAGGAAAAGGGAAACGTGGAAGGGTTTGTGGAGGAGCGAATGATGGAGTGCTTGAAGAATATGAATGTCTGGTCGGTTGTTGCGGAGCAAGCGATTGTGAAGCGAGACAGCGCGTTGCTGATCGAGTCGTTATCAAATCTAAACAAATGGGAGTACGCGAAACCTCCACTATTTTCATCTTCTAGCGAAATCGAGTCTTTGATGAATTCGAACGATCTTCCATCGAATTCGAATTCGAATTCGAATCGTTCGATCGAGTCTTCGCTCCTCTCCATGCAGCTACACATCCTCAAAAACCAACCTGATCAAATCCAATCGAGTTATCGCGAAGTCGAATCGCTTCTCATCGAAGCGTATCGCGAGATTCTCTCCATTCCGCAGGAACGTCGCTTACAAATCCAAAGTCAGCAGTTCTACACGATGAATCTTCTCGCAAAACTGGGCGATCGATCGCGTGCTTCCACGCTAATTATGACGCATCTTCGAAAGATCCCGAAAGGCCGATCCGATTCGGTCGTCGATCACATCAATTTGCTTCGAGTTCGGCAGAGTTTGTATTGGAAATTGGAAGAAAAGGAAGCGAGCAATCTGTCCACCATAATGTCAGATTTCGAGTGGACGACGATCCAAATCGCTCAGCAGTTTTTCGAGGAAGGCGATTACGCGAGTACGTTGGAAACATTGATTTCAGCTTCGCATCGAAATCGAATCTCAACGCATTTTGTTCAGGAAATGGGGTCCATTGTTGCGAAGCTGTCTTCCAGTAATCTCTTCCAGTCGGATGTCCGCGCCGACATTCAGAACCATCTCACTTACAACTTCGATTGCTTCGGCTCTTCAGAACGAAGCGCGTTGCTCTCCTCCCTCGCGATTTCGAAGCTCAAAACGGCGAACAAAAGCAACATGAGCAAATTCTACGAAGAAGTCTACTCCTTGCTACACAGTGCTGTGAGTGCGGATTCTGAAAACAAACAAGCCTGGCACGAACTCTCCTCGCTTCTGTTTTCGCTTCTTGTCCAGCGCAACCAAACCAAGATGGATCTTCCGTTCGTCACACCCGAGTATTTAGTCGCCACGATCATCTCAGCGCTTCGATTGGATTGCACGAACACTTCTCTTTTGTTCTGGCTGTTCTACAGCATAAACAATCATCAAAAAACGCTCAGCGAGAAAATCCTCAAGCTGCTTGAATCGATCCCTCTGCACGCTTTTATTCCTTATTTGTATTATTTGTTCATCCCTCGAAGTCCGCTCATACTGGTCACTCATCGATTGATGCATTCCCTGCTGTCCGTCTATCCAGAACTCACTTGCTTTTACCTGGAATGGAACCAATCGTTTATCTCCATGAACTTCGGTCCGCTCTTCTCCTTTCTCCCCGATCGAGTCAAATGCGATGTTGTATGCAGTCGAATCAACGCGTTGATTGTAGTTGAATCCCCATCTCATAAAGCCCAAATCCAACAACGAAGTCGAACCCGATTATGTAGAATACAAACTCGCGAACTCCGAAATCATAAACAAAACCCGCTACTTCATTCAATGTCTTATTCAGGACCGAGGAAACATTCCGAAGCAGCTTCTCGGATCGTTTGACGATCTGCTAAACCAGTGTATCGACGTTTCTGCTCGCTCGGATGCGATTCCTGAACCAATCATCATTCAGTTAGAACACTTCGCCAAGGTTTTTGATGATCCTCCGGAACACTATTTCCTATTCGGTCAGTATGCGAATGCGTTTCATCAAGACTTTTTGAGAAGTCTTCCTCTTCGTACAGAACCGAGAATCGGGACGGCAATAAAAACGTCGACAGTCACAGCGATGATAGAGAACGAAAATGAAGCGTCACAGCCACTCAGAACACGCCCGAATCCTAAGTTTCCCCAGGATATCGATGAGCTCATTCACCGTCTAACAAAATGGAAAGTCTTTTTGGAAACGATCATCGAGCGCTCATCCGAGTCAAGGCTCCCAATATTCGGGTTTGCTTATCTGTCGTCCATTCTGCCGTCTCTCCACGTTCCGAATTGCTACAGCGCGAAGGGAACGGCGCTTCGCATGCAGTCGATTTCACACTTCGTTGTAGACCCCCGTGACCACAGTTATCGATGGAATTCGTTTCGAATCAAAGACGAGTTTGGGCATTTCCACTATTTCTCGCTGGTGAAAGAGCGGCCGATGGATGTGATTTATTCCTACAGCGCTGTTTTACTGGCTCATTTCTTCGGCAAACTGTATCAGAACGATCCGAACATCGCAAAACGAATCGATCTGAGTCATCGATACAACATGCTGCCGTTAAACGCGGTCACGATGTTGACCGAGCGATCCAGAAACGAATTCAGTTTAGCCGAAATAATGCGATCGACTCTGAAGAAGAAGGGCGTGAGTTTGGACGATTTTTTTATTGCAGTCGCGGAAACCAAGCGAATAACCGAGCCAAAAGTGAGTCCGAGCGAATTGGATGCGTATTTATCGATGGAAGGCGAAGTCCGCGATTATTTGTAGGAATTGAGAGGAAGTAGTGTGAATAGATTGGACTGGTTTGTATCGGTGTATGAATACGAAGAGTTCAAAGAGCAATTCGCGTATGAATGGGCGTTTTCTTCGGCGTACATGATGTTCAGCAAGTGGGGAAACGTGGAAACGGTTGATGGGTAGTCAGATGGATGCGAAACCGAGTAATATTCGAATTGATCGGAAAACGGGGCAAGTACGACTCGACTCTCCAATCATGAACTACGATTTTTCGAACAAAATGCTGGGGTTTGCGACCAACATGTTCGTTCCGTATCGATTAACGCCCGGTATTACGGACTTCCTGGGGATTTCGCACGTGAAAGGATCGTTTTTGAGTGTGCTGCACGCGGTATATCGCCAGTATATCGAGTCGCAAGACTTCACGATCTTCTTTTCCTTCGCGGGCTATCTGGATTTTATCAGCGCTGCGCGGTGCAATTTGGTGAAGGAGAACTCGCTGTCGAAGATCAAGACCTGCACGCAGACGTACATCCAACAGTTGAAGCAGAAATCGGCGTCTCTGTCGCTGCAGCAAGTTCTGAGTTCGTTCCTCACGCAGTCGATCGACTGTAAGAATCGAGCGCCGATGGAAACCACATGGTGCATGTGGTTATGATTTTCACTTTGCTTTGTTTTCTCAAACACACAAAGCCACTAAGGTATCCAAAACCGGCGCAAATCGTTCCGCTTGGCTCTTGGAACCCTCCGATTCGGTCTCCTGCGATGGTTTCTGAGCGGTTTTGAACTGCGTTGCGCCTTGTTGTTGTTGTTGATTCTCTTCTTTCTCTTCTTTCTCTTCTTCATCTTCATCGCGATATTCAGGTAACTTCGCGATGCTTTCTTCTCGTGCCTCTACGGATTCTCTGCGGTTTCGTCGTCTCCTTCCACTCCGTCGATTCCCTTTCGGATACAAATCCGCTTGAATTCCCGCGCTTCCCCCAACACTTTGATTGGTTTCCACGTTTCCACCTTGAGGGCGTGCGTTTCGACGCCGTTGATCGCCGGAACCTCGCTGTTCTGAGGCGTTTTGAGGCGTTGCATTGCTCGAATTCCCCTCGGTTCTACCGTTTCCCTGGTTTCCCTGGTTTCCCTGATTGGAGCCAGTGGTGTTTTCTGTGTTTTGTCTTCGCTGCTTTCTCCCATGTTCATTTTCTCCGTGATTATCTTGGTTTCCACGGTTTCCACGGTTTCCACGGTTTCTCCGATTGGATCCAGTGGATCCATTGGATCCATTGGAGTTCTGCGTGTTTTGATCTCCTTTATTTCTTTCCTCCTTTCCATCGTCCTGGTTTCCACGGTTTCCACGGTTTCCACGATTGGATCCATTGGAGTTCCCCGTGTTTTGCCGCCCTTTCCTTTTCCCATCCTCTCGATCGCCCCGGTTTCCCCGGTTTCCCCAATATCCCCGATTTGACTGGCGATGCGCGGGCTTAAAGAAATGCTGGTTCTGGAGTTTCAGGTTCGTCGGTTCGCTCTGACTGGAGCGAGATTCCGACGAGTCGCTGTCCGAACTGGAGGAAGTTTCACTCGAATCTTCGGAAGAAACGGACGTGGATTCGGTTTGTGTGCTCGATTGACTGGTTTCCTCAGAAGATTCGGTAGTGCTGGGAGTTTCGTTTTGGGAGGGGAGTTTTGTTGATTGAGGGGCTTCGAATCGAACTTCGGCGGTGGAATTATTGTTATTGTTGTTATTCGAAACGACCATCGGAGGGATCATGCCATACACGGGAGCGAAATTGATCATATGGTTATAATCCATGGGAGCACTATTGATCTGAATGGGTTGCATGTATTCCATGGAGGGATTAGAGACAACATATGGGATTGAATAGTTTTGGGCTGGAGCTGCAGAGTAGGAAGGGGGTTGTTGGAAATTCCCAGTAGGATACATGGGAGGCTGTTGAGGAACACTCTCAGCATAATCATGAGTAGGGTAGAAGGGTGCAGCATCAACATTTAATTTTAAGCTACTCGCTGACGAGCTACGATCATTTGAATTGCTCATTTGAGTATTTGTGGTCACGGGACGTCGTTTTTCTGAAGAGTGAGCTTTTTGGGTTCTTTGTTGTTTTCTAGGATTCCTCGAGTTATTTTTGTCTGTATCGATTTCTGAATTCTCCGGAGCCAAGATGGGAATTCCTGCCGTTAACTCATTATCACTTCTATATGTAATTTGCATTCCAACATCCTTTACAGAACAAAATTTGACTTAATCTGACTCCTTTCTGGATACTAAAATGTAAATAAGCTCGTTTGTCCTTACCCTTCTATATTTCTTATGGAGCACGGTTTGTAATAATTCTCCTTCCATTCCAAATATAGATTACTTTAAATCTATTCAAATAGATATGTGTCAATATTCAACAATTTCTCCCCTATTATCACAATTCCACATATATGGACATTTCTCCATTGAACTTTGTGGTTTTTTATTCTGTGTTGTAATACTATCACGAAGCTTGTCACTTCATGAATATAATGTAAATGAACCGGAAATACCTAATTCGAAGCTCAACTTCAGAATCTTATGGAGACGACATTCCCTTTGTTTCGAAAGCAGGAAAGTCATTATCTCAAAGAGATCAAATGGCGAAAATAGGAAATACGAACGATTTCGTTAATTCTCACCGTTACTCCGCCGATTTAGAGTCCTTGCTTTCCGGAAACAAAGCGCTTCTTCAGCCGTACCAAACTTCAGCGGAACCGTTAAATGAGCGTTGGAGCGTGACTTTGTGTCAGTATTCTCAGCAGTCAAGTAGGTCTTTCTCTCCCGAATGGAATCCCAGATGAAGAGTACTGCGGAGAGTTAATGCCTCAAATCAGTGCCCACAAATACGACCGTGCGTACTACGGGAGCACCCCCTCCCAAGACTCTCTATCTCTACGCAGTCGTTTCTCGACTCCCCTCTCCCGCCCGCATTCTCCCGAGAGCGACGAGGTCTGCGTCGAGCGCTGTACTCTTTCTCTTCCTCTCCTCCCCAGTCTCCACGGCGCCCTTCCCCACCCTCGACAGTCCCTACCTCTCCCTGCATGTCTCCCCTACCCCCGACAGTCCTCTCAACTCCAGCATGGACTACAAGCCCTCCTTCTCCGACATCCCCGCCATCTTTCACCGCGGCGCCGGCAAGCGCGGCGGCGTCCGCATCACGCCCGACGCCCTCCAGAGCCTCTCTCTCTTCGCCTCCGCGCCCGCCGCGCTCCGTTCTTCGCTCGCCGCCCACGGGCCAATCACCGCGCTCCGGCCCCCCGCGGGGACCGCAGACCGCTCCCACCTGCTCCACGTCGCCGGCTGCAGGCCTCCCGATGAAACGCCCGATCGCCGCGACGCCGCCGAGTTCCGCGGGGAGAGCGACCGGCCGCACGGGAAGACGCCGATCCCCGCGGTGCGTCGGCGTACGCGGTGGAGCGGATCGCGGGGATTGCTGGAAGTGCTGCTGGCGATGTCGCAGAAGCACGATTTGAGCGGATTAACCGCGGTAATGGTGTGCAATCACGTGGAATTGAACCCGCACGCCGAGGCGGACGCGCAGTTGTGCTACGATTTCCTCAATACCGGGGAGTGTAAGCGTCCCGCGGGGATGTGTCGGTTCCGGCACGTGTGTTCGGACCACATCGAAGCGGTGGTGGACCGAATTCGGAGCGGGAAAGTGGTTTTGCCGCGGGGATTCGATGTAGATGCCGGTGTGTTTGATCTTTCGGGAGGGAGATTCGTATCTGGTGACGTGTATGAGGATGAAAAGGGAAGTAAAACGTAGCGATGCCGGGGTTCGATCGGGCGCGCCCGGGAGAACTGAACCGATTCGCTGCGGCGGACGCGGAGCTGTGCAGAGACTTCAATCTAACGGGGAAGTAGGGGCGAGGCGCGTGGTTTTGAGCAGCTGTCCCTGCGAGCGATTGCATGTGCAATGTCCGCTGCGCCATCTGGTGGATTGCCATCCGGAACGGGTGGCGTTGCTGTATCGGGAGAAGCTGCTGTCGGACGAGGAGGCGGAGGCGTGGGGCCTGCGGCCGTGCGAGGAGGGCGAGGAGAGCCCGTTCGCGACGGAGCGGGAGAAGGTGTGTTTTGATTTCGCGAACACGGGGGTGTGTCGACGAAATCGAGAAGGGATCGTGTGCAGGTTCCGACACTGCAGACAGAGATGTGGAGGCGATGGAGCGAGCGGGAATGGAAATGGAAAGGGAAATGGAAAGGGAAGTGTGTGTACGGAGCGGGAGGGAGAGAGAGCGGAGACGACGCAGAGCGGGGGGAACTCCCAGTAATGCGCGGAAGAAAGGCGAAGTGGGACGCGAATGAGTGAATCAAACAATCAAACAAACAAACAATCAGTCAGTGAAAACCATCAAACAAATCAACAATAACAAATATCACAAAAGACACTTACTTTTTTTCTTTTTTTTCTCTCTCTCTCTCACACACAAAACCAAACAAAGCTCATTCCATCACATCCCTGCATCGATCCAACCGCATTCTGAAGGCGACGAATCTTGATTCATCAAGCACTCTTCGCCTTCCATTTGCAATCTATCTACCTATCTATAAATCTATAAATCTATCTATTCATTTATCCATCCATTCATCTATTAAAACCAAATCCCATCTCTCTCAACAAAAACCATTTCCTCCTGTTTGTTCTCAAACACTCTTTACAGATTGGCCATTTGCCAGAGCGCCATATTATCCACAGCGGTGTACCGATGGATCGCCCACAGCTTCGAATACTCTTTCCCACCGTACGCTTTGGGGTAGTAGTAAACTTTATTCCACGGAAAAGACACGAGCGAAATATTCGCGATCTTCGCGATCTGCCCTAAAAACACGTCATCGAAGTAGATGATCGGTCCGATATCCACGCAGCGCTTTACGATGATCGGCAGCACATCGCGCGACATCGCTAAAAAGCACCCAGACATGTATGGGGAGAACACCTCGTCCGGAAACACAGCTTTGGAGAGATAGTATCGACTTACAGAGACGCGGATCGGCTTTCCCCCGACGATTTTATTGCCCATTAACGCATTGGTTCGCTCCTTCGTGAGGAAGTTGCTGATCATCTGGTACGGATTGAACCACATGTCGTTGTCCGAACGAACGTAGTATTTGATGTTCGGACAGTAGTAGTCCGTCCAGTTGTACGTCAGAATCGCCAGCAAGGTGAGGTTCATGAAATGGTTCTTCATGTCGAACTGAACGATATCGTGGTAGTACTCGCTCTCTTCGCGAAGCATTTTGTCTCCTTCCGGGTCGTTTTCGTCCTGTCCCACGAAGAATAAGTGCTTTACAGATATCCCATTCACATTTCTGACACTGCCCCATGAATGACGGGTTCCCATACGTTCCAGAAATTGGCGAGGGCCAACAGGAGAACCAATAAGAATCTGCGGATTCGAATCACAAGCATGGGGGTTGTTAATCACCAAGTTGTATTGATGAGGGTATTTCATGGCCATATCCTCGTCTCTATACTTCTTCTTTGCATAGATAACATCATCCTTAAATGAAAAGCAGTGACGGGTGTTGTTTTCATGCAGAACACAGTCGTACGTTTTCTTGCTTTCTTTGTACAGATAGTCGAGCACAATTTCATTTCGCTTCGAAAACGGCATCTTTTCGAACTCTTTCGAGTTAATGAACTCTTTTATATCTAATACATCACCAACGCCCATACAATCCACACCTTTAACCACTTTCTCCTCTTCATTCTGAAAACTACTCGATGCCAGGAATATGTCGTTTTTAGCATTTTCCTTTCTCAGGAGAAAAAAGGAGATGTATAAAAAGAAGAGGCAAGCCCCAGCAGAGAAAAGGAGACGATTGAAATTCATTTCTGCCATTCCCCACTGCTGGTTTCAACAAACAATTCGATTTACAGCCCATTTCCATAAAAATCGTCCAGCGTATCCTCGACATAGTCTCGCAGCGAGAGCAATGACAGCTTCTCCTTGACAAGAATTGGCTTGTCCTTATTCTGTCCCTTATAATAAAAGAACACCGCAGGGTAGCTCTCCACATGGAATCGATACTACGCTCGACCCCTTCCTTCTCCCCTACGCAAAAATCGGGATAGCGTTTGCAGTTAAGATGGCCGACGATGATTCCGCGCACGCCGCGTTTCGCCAGATTCGTCTGCACTCAATACATCCCACACGTCCCCTACGAAGACGGTAACCGCGTCCTTGCAGGTCTCGCAGGCGTCCGCGGTGAGGAGGAGAAGCAGATGGTTCTTCGAGAGGAGGAAATCGATGTTCCACGGATGAATGCTCACGAGATTCTTCCACGTGTTGATCTTTTCGAACTGGTGCACCACGTTCATCCGCGCCGATAACGCCTTGTTCCTACGCCTCACCACGCTTCCGCACGTCGACTCCTTGCTGCCTGGACGCGAGCTGCGAAGCTCCTGCTTGACGTAGGAGAGCTCGGTCAGAATCGCCTGCGCGCCTTCCGTGACGATGCGCTTCATCAGCGAGAAGTAGCGAGCCGCTTCCGGGATGTTCGGCGCGAGGTCCTTTACCTGGCGCATAATCGACTTGCGGTAGTCTTCGTTCTCCTGCATGAATCTTCTCCGCTATTCTCACGATGTCCATGAAGCGATGGGCCAGAACGTCGAGCTGCTGGTTTCGGCCGTACCATTCGTCGTAGCTTCCGCCTGACAGAAAGCGCGTCCCTGCATCAAAGTCGAGGAGGGAAGCGTACCGCATTTGCCGTTCATGTAGGCGATGATGTTCTCGCCATGAGCACTCGTTAGACCCTCATCGACCGCAAACTCGGCTCCAGGAGCGAGGAAGCGGAAGGAAGGATAGGAAGACACGAAATGAATGCTACAGAGATGGGGGTAGAGAGAACAATCGACGTAAGCGAAGAGGGAATTGCGAGTGTTCTACAAGGGAGGCGGAAATGCCGGAGGGATACGCGGAATAAAACGGCGTCTGTTAAATAGCCGGAAATGAGATTCAGACAGTCGGGATTGGATGGTTTACAGAACAGAATGAGAATGTTTCGGTCTGAATACTTTGTTTTGAGATGACCATAGTTATGATCGGTTAAGGGGAAAATATACTCCTTGCGAGGAGTATACCCAGTCACACTTTTGATCCACTCATAAGTAGGAAGGTTCTCCCGGTTCACGTAAGGAGAAGAGACGCCATGCACAAACAGCCGGTACTGCGGACTCTCCACATCTTCCTTAATTTGGTACAGTTCGTCGAATGTCTTGTTAACTCCCACATTTGTAGCAGCAACGATCACATTACTGTACTCGACATAGCTATATGGCATTTTCCATAAAGTAAACAGTTCTAAATCACAACTACGACACTTTTTATTATTCCACATAGCAATAATTGTGAGATTCGACTGGATGTATTCATTAAGCTTTTCTTCACTCAATGAATTAATACCACTAAACATTAACCCTCCCAACTAGCCCCTTCTTTTTCGTATAGTTTTGAGCAAGCACGGTTACAACACAAACTAGCAAAAAAACAAGGACTTTCATGGAGAAAAGGTATATAAGAATTATGCAAAATAGGTTGAACGAAAAGGTTCCAATTTCTGGAATACACAAAATTCATCGATTTCTATTAACCGTCAAGTGGTTATGATAATTATGCAAACAGTTCGCACCTCACAATAAACAACAAACGGAAGGGAACTGAGTAATAAAATTATGCTGCTTATTGCTGTTCTTCTCTTTGCATTATCCTATTGTGTATAAGCTATTTGTGGCGTTGATTTTAGGAGACTATTGGAGTGCCCCATATAGATGGTATTAGTTATCAAGAACACTTCAAGGAGTCTCCCATTTTGGTTGTCTATGTATATGATGAGGTATTTTGTAATTGGCACATTTTATTTTAGTTGGTGGACAGATATAGGGCAGGCTTGAAAAAGTATGCGGAGATTATTTCGGATGTGAAGTTTGACATAGAGCCGAAATACATGGCTGTACCACTTTTGAAGTTAAATCCATTTTTAGATCAATTGTGCAGATAACCATCTTATCTGTGAGAATAACGGTTTTACTTCGAGACCTGCCGTCCTTTTCATTAAGAAGGGACAGCCTGTGGAGACTTTTAAGGGCGATTTGAACAGCTAGTACTTTTTATTTTGTTTTGTATTATCTAGTGCGTTCCGCTCTTTCCTTCGTTCTCATCTTTCTTTGAACACCAGTGTGGCGAATAGTGCTCAGTTCCGTCTTTTGCTTCTGATTGTGATCTTAATTGCACTGGTGCTTCTCTTTTTGAAGACAATCCGTTCCACTTATGTGGATAGTGCGAAGGCTGATTTGGAGGAACAGGCTCCTCTTGTCAGTCGCAGTCCTGAGCAAAATGCGGAATAGGCATAGAATCGTGTGGTTATTTTTGTTGGAAACACGATACAAGAGGTCCCATAGACTCATATCAATATCCTCATTGTCGCTTTCTTCCTCGACCACTGGAATTGACACAGTGGTGCTTAATTTGTGCAGATAGTCTTGTAACTCTTTCATCTCCTCGTCGGTCTGTGGGTCGTACTGGTGAAGCATCCGCCTCCACTTTTTGAGCTATTCTTTATCCTTCCTGTTTAAATCTCCACCTTTCCTTCAAATCTCCGTTTACCCGTATTCTCATAGGCATCTGGAGTCACTGGATCCCCCTCTTTCCGTTGATCTCTGAAATGGTATTCCTTTCCGGAATTCTACTTTGGAATTAGCATCAGATATCGCTGATATCCATACGTATTCTTGCCAAATGTGACTTGCTTGATTCTCTAGCCATCACCGTTCCTGAAGTGGAATTACAGATTGAATATTGCACTGTGGCGTTTCCTCTGCGTCTACAAGTCGTGGAGATCTTCCACTCATCCAATAGAATTGGTGCTTTGCCTTTGTAACAAACAATCCACAGTTCCTCCTCTTCGTTTTCTTCCTTTACCCCATTGCTTGCATTCTGCTTCTGCTTCTGCTTCTGCTCCTTCACCCATCGAATCAGCGACTATTTTATCACCTCCCTCCCCACACTTCTACTTTGGTTCGCCAGGACTTTCGGCTTCGCGGATACTCGACGATTTCCACCTTCTCTCCCTTCCTCACATACAGCACGCTGTGGAAATACGACGCCTACGCCTCGCTCCCTCCTTCCATTCCCACATAGATCTGCTCCACATCGATCTCGTTCTCATTCACCGAATACCGCAAGAACGTCAGCGACGGATCGTCCTGCAGCGCCGCCGCCACCTTCTCGAACCGCTTGCTCATTTTCTTGCAGTGGTCGCAGACGTTCGAGTAGAACTGGATCACCACGTCGTTCTCGCTCTGCATGACTTCCTTCTCGAACTCGCTGCCCGCGACCTCGCGCACCAGCTCGCCCTCCTTCGGCGTGATTCGCTTGGATCGCATGAACGGCTTGACGGCTCCGCTGAGAATGTTCTGGCCGAAGAAGACCAGATTCTCCATCGGCTCGTCCTCGATCGACGGCCACTCGTATTTGAAGTGATACCCGCGGATCCGATGCACGGTGAGCAAGAACGGATAGTCCGGATTCAGATTCGCGATGTATCCGTTATACATCCGTTTCTCCTTTTTCTCCACATAGAAGCAGTTCATTCCCGGGAGCTTCCGACACATCTATCAAAGGAATCGTCCTAAACAGAGCGGTCCCTACCTCCACGAATTTCGCGGTGCGCAGCGAGGGATACACGGCGTTTTCCTCGTCGACCAGCATCGTCGTCCACACTTTCGGATGCTGGTAGAAATAGTCTTTGTACTACGCGTTACGCCGCGCATTTCAAAAAGAGAACGCGTGGGTTCGAGGTCGGATACACCACCGGGTCGCTGTGCATTGCCACGAACTCGCGCACGTTGGAATCTGTGAAGGGTCCGGAGAGCGACGCGAAATATTCGTCGAATGATTTCAGAACGAAGATCGTCGGAGACGCCAAATGACGCTACGGAGAAACGGGGAAACGGAGATACCTCCTGGAGGAACGCGTCCCGCACCTCGGGAGTGGGGATAACGAAGAGAACATTCTTCTCACGCACGACCGATCGCTTGAAAATCGCTTCTTCCTCGCTCTAACCATCAGAAACTTCAAAGGCAGATACGCCCTCGTCGAACAGACCCAGGTAGACCACGTTCGAGCTCTGCTCCAGGAAGGGAATCATTTCGGACTCGACGATGCGCAGAATTCCGTCACTTGTATGATTTACCGCGAAATGAAGAATATCGCTACAGAAAACAAGAGATGGACTGTGTACCCCGCTAGCTTCTGTCCATTGTATCGGAAGTACTCTCCGTTCACAAAGACACCAAAATCCGGAAACACGGCCACACTATAGCGATCCACGTATTCTTTGTCATCTCCAAGCTCCACCTTGATCATTTCGAATTCGTTCTTCCCTTCATACCCAATATCCGACATTTGACTCCAGGTCGGCGCGAAATCCTTGCAATAAGTGCACCACTACGTAGTAAAATGCATCAAGAACATATGTACAGAAGCATACCAGTGAACTAGCACAAGAGGATGTTGCTCGGTATATTCAATCAGTTTTCCTTTTTCAACGTAATGTACATTACTTTCCGAATGATCCCAACACAAAACCTAGAAGATAACCAAGAAACTCGAAACATCCTTACACTTTGTAAGCATAATAATAATGAAAATAGAATGTGTGGCATATTTGCAATCCTTCCACTACCTATTTGAATTGAATGAATCAAGTTTGATGAAATGATATTTGAACAAACCCCCGATTTCCGGAATTCCGATTGTAGAGAGAAGGCAAAAAGAACAAAAAAGGAGGGTATTTTGGTGCTTTTTACTTTTTCGACGTTCCAATGACCAATTCCGATGGTAGACGATGCGGTTTGGTTTTAAATGAGTAGATGAATTAGACTTTGATAATGTGTCGGAGGATGACCTTTTGGATGTCGATGACCACGTTTCTGTGGATGAAGTATCGAGTAGTAGCAACGAGATGAGTTCTTCGTCCGAGGAGGAGAGTGAGGAGAAGGAGGAAGACATTCATGCTTGGGGTGGTCGAAAGAGCAACTATTATGGTGGAATGGAAGATGTGGCGTGTTGTGGAGTCTGTTGACGGCTAGGACATTGACGCGGATGGTGTGGAGCTGCGAGAAACGCGTGAGCTGGAAAGAAACCAGAAGGAGAGTTTGCAAGTTGAGGACTTCGCGATTTCCTCCGACGAGGACGAGGAAGTCGAAGCGACCGATCTGGAAGCTGCCAAGTTGAATTTGGGAGTAGGTAGTTCGCTCTTAAGTGTCATTATATAGTTCGGTATCGCGGAAGAGGAGGTGCACAAAGACCTTTCCTCGCTGTCGGCGGAGGAGCTTGGCAAGCTGCTGCGCAAGGAGAGTCCGGAAGTGGTGGTGATGCTCTCCGACCTGCTGGGCCGTCTGCGCGCGTTCTCCGGCGCCGTGGCTCCCTGGGCGCGCGCTCTGCGTAGCGAGCGTCCCTCGGTGGGCGGGCGCGCGCTGTCGTCGACGGGCGTGGACTTCGCGGACTGCCAGTCGCAGCTGTCGCTGAACTACGCGCTGCTGCTGCTGAACTACCTGCTGCTGAAGGCCGAGCGCCGCCCGTCGAGCGACCTGCAGCGCCATCCGCTGACCGCCCTGCTGGTGCGAGCCAGGTAGGAGACGAGGGGGCGGGTCATGCAGAGCTCTGCTCGACCGGCTGGGCAAGGCCGAGCGCCGGATCGGCGAGGCGCGGTTCCAGCGGGAAAGCCTCCCGCGGGGATCGGAGAGCGAGGACGAGCGAGAACGGGAGCGAGAAGGGAAGGAGGGCGAAGAAGAATTGGCGGGAAAGGAGGGAGGCGAAGACGAGGCGAGGGAGGAGCGAAACGCCCTGGCGCGGTAGGAGCGAGGCGAGGAAGTGAAGCGCAGAGAGGAGGAAGCCGCCTTCCAGCGATTCGCCGCACGCAAGCGAGGGGCCGACATGCTCACGCCATCGGAGAAACCGGGGAAACCCGATGCAATGGACGACGCAATGGACGACGCAATGGACGAAGTGGAGTCGAACGAAGACGAAGATTTGGCGGGAAACGAAGACGAAGATTTGGCGGGGGAGGACGATTTTTACCGGGAGATGAAGAAACGGAAGGAGGCGAAGCAGAGCGCGAAGGAGGCGCGGCAGGAGTACGCGGCGCATTACGTGAACGAAGATTTCGAGCTGGAGGAAGGGGAGAGCCGCAAGGCCACGCAGAAAATCCTCAAGAACCGCGGATTGGTGCCGAGCCGACCGAAGGAGAACCGCAACCCGCGTGTGAAGAAACGACGGCGCTACGAGCAGGCTGTCAAGCGGAGAAAGGGACAGGTGGTGCCGATGCGAACGAACGAAGCCGATCAGTACATGGGAGAGAAGTCGGGAATCCGCGCAGATGTCACGCACTCCCGACTGTTCAACTAATCGTCTTTTATTGGAGTTTGTTAGTTTTATTTTTAACTGTGTTCCGTTTGTTTTTTTACAGAAGCTATGGGTGTAACCGGGCCGTATAATGTGTTGTCACTCGAATGGCAATGCGTAGAGCTCAATTGTATGGATTCTTCGCTCTCTAAAAACCCACAAAATGAGGCGTTTCAATAATGTTGATACGTTGAACCTTGAAAAACCGCGGAAAATTACGCGATCATTAAAATCACATAATAGTTTTTATTGAAAGAAAGAGAATCATGGATAGTATTATGAAGGCTTTGAAGACGTCCAAGAGACGTTTCACCCAACAAGTCAAGGTAGCTACGGGTAGGTTGTGGTATGGGGTGGTTAGTCTCTAGGTCAGTCAGATGTAACTTCGGATGCTACCTACGATATTGCGTATCGCCAGTTTTGTGACGTTGAGAAGAACCTTTCTACTTTGCACGCTCAATGTGTTTCTCTGGTATCCAATATCGATAGTTGGTGTGACACGAATCGCAAGCTTGCAGATGAGTTGAAGCGTTTTACCAATACTGCTAATACCTCATCGGACGATATTGAAGCCTATCGTGACACTGTTACTAGTTTGCATGCTGCTCTCCAAACGGAGTATTCTCAGACCCGCCGTGCCTTGATTTGTATTTTGCGAGTCCGCATCATGAGTCGCATTGACCGTCTTCTGAAGGACGATTTTGCTCAGGTCCAGAAGATCGTCAAGACGCGCAAGAATATCATTATGGACTATGATTCGCACCGCCAGAAATGCTCTCAATTCGAGCGTAAGGGCGATAGCGAGAAGGCGGACCGTTTCCGTCGCAAGGCCGAGCATGACAAGGAGATGCTGGACGAGCACACTGCTTACCTGGAGGAGCGTTTTGAGGAGCTTGTGAACGAGGGAACGATCATTTTGAACAAGGAGACGGCCACGCTGATTACCTGTGAGATGTACTTGGTGAAGCGTCAGTACGAGGCCATGGTGGGCATCTGCAACAACTTCGGCGACGAGGTGGTGAGCGCGGTGACGGCCGACATCGACGATGTGATCGGTCGCATCCAGGAAGGTGAGAACGTGGAGTCCACCTACCAGGCCCCCGAGTTGGATCTGCCGGAGCCGAAGAACCTGGAGATCCCGCGTGTGACCGACTTCAAGGACGTGCCTCGCCGCCAGAGCGCGGACTACGATGACGGAGCCTACGAGACGCGTCGTGCGCCGCCCAAGAAGCCGCTACCGACGCCCAGCAAGCGAAGCTACGTGGTGGCCATGTACCCACTGGAGGCCGAGGAGGAGGGCGAGCTGTCCTTCAACGAGGGAGATCGCATCGAGGTGCTCCGCAAGGATCCCAGCGGATGGTGGGAAGGTAGACTGAATGGAGTCGTTGGTTTGTTCCCCGAAAACTACACGCAGCCTGCGTAGATCCCGGGTTTGGACTAGAGAGATCTGCTGTTTTTCTTTCAGTGGAAATGCTATGCTTGTTTGTTTGACACAGCGAACGAATGGGTGGATCGAGGGAAGTCAGCTGATCCATGCAATCAAGTCGATAAAACGCCGGGCGTTACTTTTAGGTGGATGGCTATTTCTTAAACTCGATTTTGCATTGACATTCGGATGTCGACACTTGCCCAACCAAGAGATAATACTAGTAGGACGGTCCGATCCGATTTTTAGCACGTAGACCCAGATAATTACCCTTATCCTTGTAATCAAGGACTCCCCCATAACCATAGTAGAAGGAGCCAAACCGTTCCTCCTGTCTACAAAGATTCGAAGTATGCCTGATTTTTGGTGTTGAGTGCAGACCTTATTTTCCTGACTCTCAATATCGGAGTTACACGCCATGTAATGGCCAGTACGGTGGTGATTCAGGAGAACTAGATGCCTTATACCCTACTAATTCTTCACCCTATGTAGGAGTTTGGAATCCATCTTATTGTAGGAAGCTTACCAAGCAGAGCCAGAGAACTACCGTGCCTTTAGAATACTTAGAAAAATGCCATTACCAACATCCCCTGATGATATGCAGGGCAATCCGCCGGATTATGTGCCCGCTTCTAGTTATGCTCAGGACGTTTCTTCTGCTCCACCACAGACCGCCTATGGTCCAGGATTTGATTCTAATGAATACCTGTACGAGCCTGCGGCTCCCGCAGGCCCTGAGGACTATGTTCCTGTCTATCATACAAGAAGCAGCTACACTTTACCCTACGACAGGGGCTACGCTTCTCCCCCTCCCCAAACAACAACATATTCTTATGTAGCTCTTCCTTCTATGATCCCCATTCTCTCTAGGTGCCTCCTGAATCTGCCCGACCTCTTTTTCGCTCCTCCCCCCAGTACGACGCTTACTCTTACCCCTACTCCGATTACTCCTCTGTGCCCGCTGCTCCGCTCGTCTACGCTCGCTCCGCCCCCATCGACCGGCCGTTCCCCTACCCCGCTGTCCGTACCTACAAGCGCGTCGTGCCCGTCCAGACCTGCTACGTCGCCGAGGGCTCCGTCCCCGTGCTCTCTCGCAGCCCCTCCCCGACCGCCGCGGAGTCCTATCCGCAGCCGCTGCCCGCCGATCCGCCGACGCAGGAGTACGTCTACCCGCCGGTGTGCGAGGTCCCCATGGTTGCTGCCCAGCCCATCCGGATCGCTCCCGCCCCGCAGCCGCAGCCGCAGCTACAGCAGCCGCAGCAGCCGATGATGGTGGCTCCCATGCAACCGCCGCAGTCGCAGCCACAACCACAGCCACAGCCGCAACCGCAACCGCCACAGCAATCGATAGCCCTCCGGTCCGTTCAACCTCAACCCCAACCGCTGCAGCAGCCACAGCCGCAGCCACAGCCGCAGTTACAGCAATCGATTCCTTCGTCCAAGCCGAGCCAGGCCTCTTCCAACTCGCTTTCTGTCCCATCTTCTCGCTCGCAGAACCAGCGAGGCGCGGCCTCCGCATCCACGTCCACGTCCTCCAGCCGACGAACGCAGCGGCAGCCTCGCAAGTCGCGACCAGGAAGCGCGGCGAGCCCCACGCCGTCGCCGACCTCGCCGTGCGAACCGACGAAGTCGGACGCGTTGAGCCAGCTGTGCTGCAGCCGGGAGCGATGCCTGCATCTGCAGAAGGAGCTGGGAACGAAGGGAGCGTCGATGGTGGACTCGCTCTGCGACAAGCTGGGCGACGATCTGGAGAACATGCTCTCGCATAAGTACGGAAACTACCTCTTCCAGCGACTCGTCGCGGTGGCCACGGACGAGCAGAAACGCCGGATCGTAGGCGAAGGGGGAGGAGAATGACTCGCAGATCGCGTCGACACGCCGCATGTTCGTCGCGGCAGCGATGACGCAGCAGGGAACGCGATCCGTGCAGGCGCTGATCGAGGCCTGCCGGCAGGAAGACATGCTGCGATCCATCGTGGAGAGCATCGCGCCGCGCACGAAAGAGCTGTCCGAGGATGTGAACGGCAACCACGTGATCGCCCAGCTTATCAAGGTCACGATGGACTCGATCCGCGCGCCCTTGCTGGAAGAGATTCGCAAGCATTGTGTGGAGGTAGGGACGGAGGGAAGTTGTGCGAGCACTAGCTTTGTAAATCGAAATACGGATGCTCGGTGGTGAATAAGTGTCTGGACACGCTGAAGGACAGCGAGTACCGCATGCTGCTCATTCACGAAATCGAGTCGGATGTCAACGAGATTATTTGTCACGAATACGGCAACTACGTGATCCAGGTGGGCGTTGCGGTGTGTCTTCCATGCAGCATCTCATCAAGGTGTCTCCGCCCTCGGAGAGCCAGAAGTACTGCCAGTACGTGCTGGGGAACATCTGCGCCTTCTCGACGGATATGTGTTCCAGCAACGTCGTGGAGCTCTCGATCGAGAGTGGCGACGACGCGACACGCAAGATGATCATCGACGAGATGCTGTCGAACGGAGACCTGGACAAGATCATCCAGAGTCGCTATGGGAAATACGTGCTGCACAAGGCGCTGCTGATGACGACGGGGCCGCTGAAGGAGCGACTGGAGCAAGCGATCGAGATGAACACGCGGAGCATGAGAGCGGACGCGTACGAGGCCCAGTCACTGCCGAACTATCGCAAGTTCGAGTGCTTTTAGGGAGTTGTTTAGGAGTGTTTGAATGAATGAATGAATGAATGAATGAATGATTGAATGAATAAATGAATGAATAAATAAATGAATAATTGATTGATTGAGTTTTGTATATGAATAATTAGTATTGAATTGAAATGAGCTTGAATTACTGTTATTAGTTATTGTTCTGTTATTTTCAATATTTAAGATATTACGATATTACGATATATTATTATACTATTACATTATGGTCCTACAGTTCTATGTTTGAATAATGATCTTAATCAAGGTATACTGAGTGTATTTGGAATTCCAAAAATTGCCTTCTTTTTGTTTGTGCGAAACCTACAATTTTTGATTCTTTACGATGCCCGCGTCTACTGCTGCCCCACCGGCTACTGAGGAAAAGAAGAGAAAGAAGGAGAAGAAGTCCTCCGAGCCTGAGCCCGAATTCTACATCTCGCCCGAAGAGAAGGCGAAAGCGTTCGAAGAGACCAAACACCTGTTCAGCCTCTCGAATAAAAAGAAATCGAAAAAGAGAATGGCCGCTGGAGAGAATTCTCACGGATTGGAAAATGAAGCTGAAGACGACCAGTATCATAAGTATCTTGAGGTAGTATTTTGTTGGGACTGACATCTCCAGATCCTCGATCGCGTATACAAGCAAATCCAGGAGAAAAACCCCGAATTTGGAAATCGCAAGAAACACATGATGTCTGCTCCTCATGTTGCTCGTGTCGGAACCACCAAGACTTGCTGGGTCAATTTTGTGGATCACTGCAACAAGATGAATCGCGATTACAAACATGTGCTTAGCTTCGTTCTGAGTGAGTTGGGAACGGACGGTTCGCTCGATGGAAAGAACCAGCTCGTTATCAAGGGTAAATACACTAGCAAGAAGCTTGAATCTATTCTGAAGAAGTACATCGGCATGTACGTCGCCTGTAACGATTGCCGTTCTCCGAACACGGTTCTGGAAAGAGACCACATCAACAAGCTCTACTTTGTTATTTGCAAGAGCTGTGGCAGCAAGCGTTCGGTCGCTGCGATTAAGACTGGTTACCATGCGGTGAAGAAGGGAGAGAGATACAAGAATAGACAATAAAGAAGAAGAAGAAGAACAAGAAGAAGCAATTGTTGGAAGGTTGCAGTGTTTGTTTGACAATGTTGCAGCGAGTGAAGTGTGTAGTCCGGAATGGAGTAAACGGATTTGAGCAACGGATCCTTGTATCTTGTAGCCTCGAACGAAAGAGAATTGAGGAGTTTGTCGATTATGTGCTTTGTGAGTATTGCAATGTGCAAGTATGGAGTAAAGTCGACTGGAATAATTAATAGTGTACAAATTATACAGTTTGGCTAGATGGGTTCCAAATCAAAAAGACTGAGGATATTTCTATTTTGCACACGGATGACCTTATTCATATCTATTATTTTCCATCCCTCTCGGAGAGAAATAGTGAGGTTTCTAAACAAAGCGAATCCGTTGAACAAAAAAGCTGCGAAAGCAAATTAGAAGCAAGCGAATTTTGCACGCCCATGCCTACTATTATTGATCATTCAAACAATCAGTCCGAAGCCGGTTATATTATTCCAACAAATAAAATCATTCGTTTTACAAAAGATGATAACGACGAAATCGATGCTCTGCCAATGCGAGTTGCTCCGGTTGTTTCATATCACGGAGAAAACACGAATACACCCACGGTGAACATTCGTCCCTCCAAAAAGCGAACTCGCAGAGGGAAGCGGGCTGGAAAGAAAGCGCAAGTCGAAGCTTTGAGGTTTTTGGACTTTGTTTCCAACGAAGCTCCTACCATCATGTCATCGACTGCAGCGGTTTCCAGTGAAATGAGCACTCAGTGTAATGAAATGAGCACTCAGTGTAATGAAATGAGCACTCAGTGTAATGAAATGAGCACTCAGTGTAATGAAATGAGCACTCAGTGTAATGAAATGAGCACTCAGTGTAATGAAATGAGCACTCAGTGTAATGAAATGAATCATAATTGGAATGAAACATCCCTCCTTCAGAATGAACAAAGTGCCCTTTCGAATGGTGCAATCTCTTCTACCCCTCAACTGATTCCACCTCCTACGGATTTGAGCAATTCTTCCGTCGAAATGACTCCTGCTTTAAATGATCCAAGTCCTGCCAACAATATTCGAGTTGGCTCTACCACTCCTCCCATCGATTCAACAAAGCAAGAGGATAATAGAGAAGCTGACAATTTGGAAAAGACCGAAGGCAGCACAGATCCCACTGTTCCGACAGCTCCAGAAACAAAAAGCACCGATTATGTTCCCTGCATTCAAGACATAATTCGCTATCACACTCCCTTCTTAGATCCAGAATCGAAATGCCCAATCGCGAAAGAGGTGGAAGGCAGAGTAATGAAGTAAGAAAGGCAGAGAATGGTAATGGGTAGCATTCAAAATGGAATGGTGTATGTATATTTAATAAAGGAAGACGAAATTGACAAAGTACCAGTGGATTGATATGTTGACTGTGTAGAAATCAATTCAAGAATTGAAGGATGCTGTTCTTGTTTCGGGACCTTCGTCATTTATAGCAAATTGAAATGTTTGTTAAACGAAACACTGCAAAGCAAACTTTGAATAAAATCCACTTCGCTTGACGCTGAAATATTCACCTTTTTCTTTGGTTCATTCCTCTTCTTTGGCCCCAAAGCCTTCATCGCCGCCTTCACTGAGTCTTTCAGGTTTAATGAATCGAAGTCTATCTCCCAGTACTTTGCTTTCTTGTCGAGAATCGCTTCTTCCAGTTCATTTGGCTTAAGTTGATAAAGATTCGAGCAAGAATTGATGAGGTCACAAAGAATATAAAACAAAAGAAGGTTTGCAAATTGACACGAAGTCGCGATGGCATTCGAAAACGCGAGAAAAATGAAACTATTGGGAGAGCTAAGAATTGAGAGACATCTAGGAGAATGAAAGAAGGCATATGTACGCACTTTTTCGAAAGGGAATAGGAGGAAGAATCCAACAAAATGCTTCGCTTGTTGAGAAACGAAAAGTGATTCTGTGGAATAGTATTCGTTCATTTCATGACTACTTGCAACACGGAAATGACGGAATTGTCTAGACCCATCTCCTTCGAGGAAGAAGCAACAGGATCTTCCTCTTCAGAGTAGTAATCACTCTCCTCTACCTAATAACAAAATACTCTCTAATACCTTCGGAACTCTCTTTTGTACCAGACATTTTTGGAGCATTCTTCCGAGAAATCACATATCTCACGAAAATGACCCAATGGTTCGGATAGATTTGGTGAATATACTACGAAAAACAATATGAAACAATGGTTACATCATATGGATAGTATTCTTTTCCGTTTATGACGAAAGCTGACGAAATCCGTTCAACCCATCCTTCAACGAACTGCTCGATCTTTTTCTTGGCTTCATCGGTGATTTCATCATATCCTAAAGCGCGAAGAATATAATTTACATAGGTGTGAACAGACACGTTCTCTTCCTCCTCTCCATCCCACTCCTCGGCCTGTACCCTTCGTCGCTTCGCTTTTACCTCATAATTCATAACAAACACGGCCACCCAACAAATCTCTACATCTTGACAACCTTCATTCGCTTTCTCAGTTTCTTCTTTCTCTCCTCCTTCTCCAGCTTCTCCTCCGCCTTCGCTCGCGCCTCGGGTGACAATCTCTCAATCCGCTCTCTCTCCTCCCTCATCCGCTGCTCCTTCATCGCCTGCATCCTCTACTCCTCACCTTCCCCTCCTTCTCTCACTTCCTGTCTCTCCACATGCTGCTCCCTCATCTCTCTCTCAGCGTTCTCCGCTCTCGCCTGCTGAATGCTTTTCATCGCCTTCGCAGACGGTTTCAACGCCGCCACCGAATCCACCAGCGCGAACGCCATCTTCATCACGTCCTCCAGCACCTCCATGCGGTCTACCGCTCATCAAATCCGCAGGATCCTACCCACGGCGGGGAGTTTCGCGCGAATTCGAATCGAACAGTCGCTGAGATGCGCGCGGTTGTCGCTGGGGGGCGGCATGTGATCGCTCACGTGGATCAGGCGAAGCAGGCTGTTTGACACGCGCAGAACGCTCAGAACCGCGGGAGAGAGGAGAATCGCGGGGATCTCGGTGTTGTCGGCGAGGACGAGCCACTGGCCGCTGACTTTGGAGAGTTCGGGAGTGTATTGGAGGGCGAGGGGGCGTGCGAGGGATTTCTGGCGGGAAAACAAGGCGGGAAACATACGAGGTCGGGATTGTCGGAGTGGACGGATTTGGAGTCTCTCTTGCGGCAGAGCGCGAAGACGAAGGGGTGGAAGGTGGCGGGATCGAGAGGAATATCGATTGTCTGTGATAGAGGAGGGAAGGAAAGAGAACAAGGATGTCATCGACTGGGGTGATAAAATCGAGAAGCAGCGAAAAGAGGTCCTGACGCTTCTTCAACTGTGAGTTAGCGAGATGCAACAGATTCACTTTGAAGTCAAACAACATGCCTCGACAATTCTTTCGGCCTGAACAAAACAGACGGAACTGATCGAAGCTCTCTCTCATAAAGAGACCGTAGTTTCCACTAATTCCGATCGAGGAGAAATTCTCCTCTAACAGAGGTTTGTACTGTTTTAACCTTTTCATAATGCAAAACGGCCAGAATTACCAATTATTCACAATCAGGGCATTCTTCTTTCGTCCTTGGAAGAAATACAAGGCGTAATAGAGTAATACTATTACTCCGAGTATTTCCCAAAGATAGTTATGGAGGATTGCTATAATAAAACGGAGAAATAATACGTGATACTAGAAAAATCGAAATGAGTAGTCTTTTCGTGCAAAAGATGTAGCTTTGCTTCTTCTGCCAATGAGATACACAATAAAAAGAGTGATAAAAATCCCCTATTCATAATGGCTAGGAAAAACTAAATAATAAGAATATTCGGTCGATTTTTGGAATAGTGCGAACAGCAATAGAATGCGATTATTGTGAAAGAAATGCGTATGTGTCAGGGAATGAAGGAACTAAGACAAGTAGATTAATTTTACTAAGAACACATGATGGGATTCACCAAAGGTAATGCCGAAAGTCTCTATTATAGTAATGACAAAAAATAGATGCCGTGTAAATATCCACACTGCACGAGGAACAAATATGGGGTAGAAATCACTGGTGATTTACTCAAACACAAGATAATGAACATCTATTTTCTTATAGGGCTTTGATTCCACTCTTCCTCATCATCATTAACATGGTTGCTCATTGGCGGTCGAATCGGCGACTTCGATCGCGAGAAGCCTCCTCGGTTGGCTCCGAATCTCGCCTGTCCGAACATCGGCGAATCGTTGTCATCGTCCGAATCCACCATGGCGGCATTTCGCCTTTTGTTTGCAGTTCCATAGCGCGAGAACGGCGTGTTGGAATTGGGTCTGTATGGCCTCACTAAGGTTCGCGTCCTACCCCTCACTCCTTTCCCTTATATTTCCTACGGCGTCGTCGATCGAATCGCTGCCTTTCCTATCGATGGTCCCGCACTTGCTTCCATTCCCGCGCGCGTCGTGCCAGCGAAGGACCGCATGCCCAGCTTCGACAGCGTGCCCGTGATCTCCAGGTCGTCGTTCTCGTCGATCTGCTGCACCTTCTGCGACGACGGCACGAACCGGCGATTCGGCGCCGTGACCGTCGCTCGGCGGACCGGCGGCGGTGAGCGCGAAATCCGGGGGACAGGCGCGCCGAAGGTGTAGGAAGGCATGTCGTCCTCCGAGGAAGAACTCGCGAACACCTCCTCCTCCTTCTTGTACAGGCCAAAGTTTCCGAACATCGCTTCCACGTCCTCGGGCGACTCCACGGGACGCTCGCTGCGACGGTCGCGATGTTTGTGATGTCTGATACCCTTTGGATTCTTGTGGTGGTGCTTCTTCGGCACTTCGCTAGGTGCCACACGTGGACCATTGCTGTTGTTACGCACCATGGGGCGCTCTGGGGGCAGTTCCTCTTCCTCCTCCTCCTCCTCTTCGGGGACTTTGATGGCGCGCTTGGGCGCTTCCTCCTTCGCGCGAGGCTTCGGCTGCGGCTCCTCCTCGGAGATCTCCGGGGACTCGATCGGCATCACCGAGGGCACTGGGTACCTGCCACACGTTTTTTTCAGTTCCTCCTCGAAGTCCTCGCTTTCGGTTTCCTTGGGCTCGAACTCTTTGGGTTTTTCTTCTTCTTCATCGAAATCGAAATCTTCATCTTCGATCTCTATAGAAATAGGCACTTCTTCTATCTCCTCGAAGTCCTCGCTTTCGGTTTCCTTGGGCTCGAACTCTTTGGGTTTTTCTTCTTCTTCATCGAAATCGAAATCTTCATCTTCGATCTCTATAGAAATAGGCACTTCTTCTATCTCCTCGAAGTCCTCGCTTTCGGTTTCCTTGGGCTCGAACTCTTTGGGTTTTTCTTCTTCTTCATCGAAATCGAAATCTTCATCTTCGATCTCTATAGAAATAGGCACTTTCTTCTCCTCCTTGGGTTCTTCTTCTTCAAAATCAAATTCTTCCTCTTCGATAACCTCTGGAATGGGATTCGTGATGATTTTCAATTCGGGTGTTGCAGCTATAGAGTGAGTGTACCATCCATCATACAGATCTCTTCCACTCACTTCCACTCCATCTTTCCATTCCACTTCGCGAGTAGCAATCCGAGTTTCTTCATCGATCCGGTATCCTCGACCATTTCGTAGAAACGATTCTTTCAATTCATCATAAATGAATTCACCCACATAGAGGGGAATTCGATTCGAAGCGATGGTGTTGTCACCGTTTCGCTTGAACTCAATCATAATGGTTCCTTCGATCTTGCGGATGATCTCCACCAGCTTGTTACCCTTCCAGATCCCTTCGAGCAGCATGGCACCCGTTTTTTCGTCATACGCGATGCCCCATCCTTCCCTCTCTCGATTTTTATTAAATTCACCGTGATATAGTAACTTTCCACTCTCGTGTGAATAGATTTCCATCCGTTCGCCTCGGATGTGGTTTATTATTCGAATGAAATTGCGATTATCCAGAATATCATCAAATGATTGTACAAAAGCAACACGCCCATGCTCAAAATAGGTAAAATCCCCGATTTGTCCCTGTTCATTATCTTCTGTATAACTCATTTTAAGTATGCCATTTTGGAATAGGCAAACCTTATTATCTGTCTTCAACGTATACTCGTCTTCATGAGCGCCTTGAAAACATTGAAGGATATAGGTACAGCCACCTATAGTAATGTTTTTTGGTTCACCACGTGTTATGTAACCATCAAGAAGAAATTCCTTTCCCTTTAGCTCTTGAAGTAAACCTATCTGTAACCACACTTCCACTAGCTTTTTTACTAGAATTCATTATTTTCAGGATAAGATAATAACAACAAAAATTAACAGATATGTTATTTCGTTTTATCTTTTGTTATATTATTATATAGCTATTCATCAATATATGCTATTAGACTCATGATATTTCCAAAACAACTGAAAATTTGCTCTCATTTATTATTCGTATCATAATGTTCTATTTTCCTGGAATAATACCGTTTTATTGTAAAATGCAAATATAAACATCCCTTAGCACGCATCGGTCTGAGCGAAAACATGCCGCAGCTCGAATTTGTGGCTTCTGGGGAGTTTTGGAAGTGGCAAGCGGAGGCAGTTCGAACTCGCAGAGAAGCGGAGAAGCTGTGCGGAAAAGAACGAAAGCTGTGGGCGGAGTTTTTAAAGCGATTCGGCGTGATTCTGCGTGGGTTGATTGGCTTGCAATTCCTGGATAGAAGGCGCTTTCAGCTCCAAAGAAGTTCAAAAGCGCGAGAATTCGATTCGACGCGTGCCTCGACAGCGCGAAAAAGACACGAGCGAGCTATCGCGTAGACGTTTGGGTCTGTTGGAACGCGTAGAATTGCTAGTGAACAAGCCGCTGAGCAGCTTCGACAACGATCTGTTCGTGTATTCTCTGGCGTAATCGATTCGAATTTGCTTGATTGCAGCATTCCTTGGTCGGAAGTGGTCGAAAACTTCGCGCCCCCCGAGAGAACCTCGAAGCTCCCGATGACTTCGATGGGTTCGATGAATGCAATGAATGCAATGAATGCAATGAGTGCAATGAACTCGATGAATGCAATGAATGCAATGAATGGGGGTGCGCCGGGTTTGGAGGAGGGAAAGCGGATTTCGACGCCGAAAGCGCGGATTGTGAATCGAAAGCGGAGCGTTGTGGGGAGAGAGGAGAAGATTGCGAGAGAAGGGAATGGGAAACGAAGTCGTGTGGTGGAGGAAGATGCGTATTACTTGAAAATGAATACGGAGAACTTGCAAGCACTGAAAGCGCATTTGGAAAGTGTGAAGCTAAAGGAGAAGGAGCTGAAGCAGAAGAAGCATAAACGGAAGGTTTGACTTCTTCGGATGCGTTTGTCTTTTTTGTACTAGTAGGGGTATGAACCTTTGTGTGTTTGTTGAAAACCTGATTGTCATTATTTTCCTGTCTACTAGAATCCAATGTCTGAATTAGAGGTATTTTGTTGAAGATCGGAGTTAGCTCGTAGAAGAAATTTAACGAAACCGCTGAGTTTGTTCGTTCGTGGCATCCTGCCAAAACTGTGTCAAATGAGGACAAGCTCGCTGGATACTCTCTATTCAAGCAAGCCACTATTGGAGATTGCAACATTCCTGCCCCTGGAATCTTCTCGTTGACTGTATGTTGGATTTTCTTGTAGTGATGAATAGGAGAGAGCGAAGTGGAATGCCTGGAATGCCTTGAAGGGTAGAATTGTTGTTTTGATTCGGTGAGTTCGTAGGCATGTCGAAGGAGGAAGCTATGCAAAAGTATATCGATTGTATCGAGGCTCAGAAGGTTAAATATGCATAATTAGTGTGTTTGTTTGCTAGTTGTTGTCAAGAGTCAGATTGGCTTGAGGAAGCTTCTCTCGCAAAATACAGGCCAATAATACTATATTAAATCATTGAATTGCTGTCTATCCCATCAAAATTGAAGGAAATAATGACTTTGTGAAAAAGTGAGTAATGAACTCAGATATTACAAGATATAGTCACTGTGATCTCATGCATAGGCGTAGAATATGCCAATAATAGAAAAGCAACACAAGATGAGTTTCAATGAATAGACATATGAAATGGTTGTGTAATAGAGTACTGTTGAGCGTGAGCAACCATATCACTATAATATGAGTATAATAAACAATTTCTTAATATATGGTGCATCGAACAACTATAGTTTCTAATGAAGTTATATTATTTTGCACCACAAATACTGAAGGGCAGTATCAACAGAAGTATAAATATGACACAATATCGTAAACCTGTAAAAGATCATATTGTTTAGTGTGTCCGGGTTAAAAATAGCTATACATTGTGTTCATCTATTTATCATTTATTTTCGAGAGTTTCTGTTTGAATGATCATTTAATCTGGACTCCTCTATATTGATTCATTTTATAAATAATATATATAATCAAACTCAACACCATTTATGAATATACATGCAATTACAGTTGTGACTCACTTTTTTTGAAAATATGTATATTCGTATAAAGTGTGTTGTAGTAAATATATTGGATCACTAAAACCACTGCTTAAAAGCAAACTCAACCTGTGTTGGCCGGGAAA